TTTATTTTAATTTGGATTCACCTGGCATATCATTTTCTCCCTTTCATTTTCATTCTTTTGGGGTGGTTTTATTTTGTATGCCTTTTGTAAACATATATAGGTGTATTTACTTGTTTCAGCTACTTTGATGTATCTTTTTGATAGGCAGAGAATGAACAAATAGACCGATCTTTCCAAATTCATCTTCTACTAGTCTTTTTCATTTTCCCAATGATGCAGCCATAATGCCTCTTTATATATATATATATATTTTTTTTTTTTTTTTTAAGATTTTATTTATTTGACAGAGAGAGAGAGAGCGAGAGAGGGAACACAAGCAGGGGGAGTGGGAGAGGGAGAAGCAGGCTTCCCGCCCAGCAGGGAGCCCGATGCAGGGCTCGATCCCAGGACCCTGGGACCATGACCTGAGCTGAAGGCAGACGCTTAACAACTGAGCCACCCAGGCGCCCCCACAATGCCTCTTTATAAAGTTTCTTTTAAAATGCCAAATGCTCTCTAACTCAGTTCATTTGCACATGTAGTTGTCTCTTCTTGGAATGGTCTTTACCATGGCCCTCTGTTTTAAAAAGCAAGCCTCAGTTTAAGCGCTCCCCCTTTTCTTAAGAGAAGCTCTTCTCTGACCCATCTCTTTCTAAAATAGCATCCCCCTTATTTTCCTAGTACGTGATTTCTTTTATAGCACAAAAGTTGTTTTTTCATAGATATTTATTGGTGTGACTATAAATACTATTATTACACTAATGATTTTCCTTACATGTTGATTATTTGATATTAGTGAACAGGCGGGGTAAAATAAGGCAGTACCCCTAAAAGAGTAACATGGTCAAGAGAAGGTCGCCAATGGCTGAGGAACCTGGAGCAAGTAAAGAGGAAGAAATAGACTGTTCGTGAATGGGAAAGAATTTGAGTGTGGGAGTACCTTTACCTAGAAAAGGAAATATGTAGTCCTCCAGGACTCTGGGAGAGGGTGAGAGAAGTGTGACTGCAGACGTATTTAAGGTATAAAAGAGGTTAAAGAATTGCCTGAATCAGACCTGATTTTACTGAATAAAGAGTGGAGAGTAAATGGAGTTGAGAAGGTGGTGGAATACTTGTCAAGAGGTGTGCCCTAAGAGAACAGGGTGAGGCTCCAAGTTTAGTTTGACTGAAGTTAGCAGTGTTGCTGGTTCTCTGTGTTCATGTGTTAGTACCTTGTGGTCCATAGCATTAGGGGGTTAGTATAAATGATGCAGGGGTGGGTGTAAGTTGCATAGTGTGTGATCACACTGATGAGTGAATATATTCTGCGGGGGTGAGTATAGCATTGATTGAAGGTAGAGTGTCATGAATGTACTGTGAACACCATGTTAAGAAGTAGGGAATGAACTCATCCACCTGTGCTCTAAACTAGTGTGACTTTGGGCACAGTCTTCTCCGTGAATTAGAAAGGCGTTGAGCTTGATCAGCCCTTTTCAGTTTACACGTGATGAGAGTGTATGAAAAAGATGAAATTGAGTGAGTAATGGTTTAGGTAAAAGTAGGTGATGGGTGCGAAGAAGCAAGTACAGGTATGGAGCTTGTAATAAGTTTTATCTCCTAACTCTTAATAATAACACTAACATAATGTATCTGTAATTGTTTTGTAGAGTCCCTTGTTTTCAGTGTTCATTCACATTATCTGATTCCTTTTACCAATGTAAAGGTTGGTAGGGATATAAGTTAATACCCCCATTTATAGATAACCTAGTTAGAACAAAGAACATTAAATTTCAAGTCAAATTCCATTTGTGCCTCATTGGCAAGCCAGACTTTTTAGCCCTGTTTCCTTATCTGTAAAATGAGGAGGGTTTTGTATCAGACTACCTGAATTTTACTTTTAGGCAGGTGTCTAGATCAGAGAAATATGACACTTGTTATGTATCTGCATTTTATCAAGGGATTTGACATAATCTTTCAGATTTTCCTTTGTAGACAGGAAATAGTGAATGGGTGGCAGCACCCTAGTGAATTTGTAATTTGGGAGCTATCTGATAAGATGACATAGGATTCTATTCTCAGTGCAGTCTTTTTCACCATTTTTGGCGATGACATAGATAAAGATATTGATGGCTTGCTGATCAAATAGCCAGTATGTTGGATAACAGAATCAGAATCAAAGATGATCTCAGCAGGCTTCAACTAAGAGCCAAGTATGACAAGATGAAACACCATGGATTCTTCTAGTGCACGCCTGTAGTTGGGCCAACAAGCACACTGCACAAGGATTGGAGTCAGGGGCTTCTTTCAGATCTTGCCTCCATTACTCTCTGTGTGACATACGGCCGCACATTCAAAAGCATAAAAGGATATGAATTGTGAATTCTCTTTCTCCCCCAGTCATGCCGTGTCATTCCCCAAAGGCAAATAGGATTATTAGGTTTTTAAAGTGTATCCTTCCAGAGAAATCTTATGCCAGTGTAAGCAAATTGTGTGTGCATATATTTCTCCCCCTTCCCATTTTATACAAGTGGGAGTATATTATTCACACTGGTTTTGTACCTTGTTTTTTTTCCTCAAATTTATGACTTTATGTTGGAGGTTTCTGCATGTCAGTGTGATCATTTTCTTTTAAGTGGTTGCACAGTATTACTTTATAGGGATGAATCATAAAACATAGTTTAGTTAACCAGTTCTTTACTGATGGACATTTTTGCTGTTTTCGGTATTTAACTATTACAAACAATGCTGTAGTCAGTAACTGTATAATAGTTTTATCTATGGGACAAAGTCTTAGCAGTGGTGTTGCTAGGTCAAAGGGGAATTGTACTTTCTAAAGTCATTGTCATCCCTGCCCTCCTGTGTCACATAATCTTAGAAAAAAACAGAATTGTATAGCTGGAAAGGAATATAAATACCATCAAGTTTAGTGGTTCCCAAAGTATGGTCCTTGGGCTGGGAGTAACAGCAGCAGTAACAAATGCAGATTCTTGGGGCCCATGCTGGGCCTCCTGAATCTGAAGGTATGAGGGCCCAGCAATTTGTGGTTGATTTTACATATGAGGAAACTATGATCAGAAAGGTGAAGTAACTTAGCACTTGTCTCAAGGTGTGACCTCTGACTTCTTTTTGAAACTCTTTTCCCATCATGTCACATCTTTCCCCCTTTTGGAATTTCCAAACTACATGCTGTTCTTAACAACATCTGCCCTAGCCTCATGCCCTCTCTCTTACTTTTTCCTTTCTCTCTACTACTGAAATCCTATTTTCATTTGTTTCTGTTTTCCTGAAGCACTTGGATCTTCCAATTTGAAAAAATCAGTACATCTTAGCCTTCCTATGGTATTTTGTTTTTATTTCTATTTCTGTATTAGTGTCTGGCTTTATTTTATTGATATGCATTCATATCAGTCTTTTGTTAGCTTATACATATGCTCCTTGAGGGCAAGGATGATGTTTTATTTATCACTTTAGGCCCCTTGCACCTTCCTTGCATTTACTAATCAATAGGTAAATGTTGGTTGCATTTCTTCTCATGCACAGTTGGGAATCAGTGGAATAGATACTCTGGGTTACACTCAATACCTGTAACTCTAACCAGTTTTCTTATAAATATGCTATTGACTACACAGGACAATAGGCATGATAGGGGCAAGTCAGCTCAGACCCTCCACTGAAGTTCATAGATGGAAAATTAACCAATATGTAATCAGTAAATCTACATTTTGGTTCCCTGTGTGCCAGACATAATGTTGTGTGTTGAGGTTGATATGTTTCTAATAAATAAAGGACCATGCATCTTTATAGTTGATACTGTCTTATACATTTAAATTGTAGGTGTCATTTCCACCCTGTGAACTTAAAACTTACAAGTATGGTGTCAAGGGGATGTTTAAATTTTTCAAAATTCTTAAAAAATTTTAGTTACTATCTTGTTTACTCTGTTGTGCTAAGTATCAAGATAGGTGTTTCTATCATTGAAACCTCATATTCTAGTAAAACACACCATTTTCTCAGATTATCTCAACATATTTGTCAAGGAAGAATATAGATGCTTCCCTGTGTGATAGAGTGAAAGTTTTACCATTTTTAGTTCACTTTTTCCTTAAACCATTATAATTTTATATCTAAGCAAAATTTAATGTTTTTAGTAGTACTCAAAGTGCAATTTATAATATTTTAGAGAAATTTTGAGAAGAAGCATGTCTTAGAGATGATTTTTTTAAATGGTAGTTGCCTGGCCTACAGTGATTTTGGTTCATCAGGCAAGTATTTTTTATGAGCTGTCTTGAGAAATGGAGATATTATCACTGGCGTAGGGGCAAAGTTAACAACTTTGAAAGAATGTGCTTCTGTAGTAATTTTGAAATTATTTTTCTCCAAGACACATCATTTTTACCAATTTTAGTTAACTGTGTGGAAAATGGAGAAGTGGAATGCTTTAATAAAATTTTGTGATCAGAAGTAAATTGTAAAAATTTAATATTAACAGCCCATTTAGAGACTTGTATTACCTTAGCAGTTGTATATTGGGAACTTATATACAACTGTGTCCTTAATTGCTATTTTTAGATGAACAATTTTAACCATGTTTAGTGTTGTAAGCTTATAAATTTGATGTTACTGTTATGTCATACCAAACATAAGCAAAACTATTTAATCTTTGTCCCCAAAATCCATTAAACGCCATTTCAGATACTAGTGCATGAGAAGGTAGAAAAATGTTACGATTCTTTTTTTGTCCTAGGAGTGTTTATAGTCAGCATAGGAGACTTTATGCAAATGAAACCGGAGGCAATCTGCACAATAGCTTTCTAAATTTCACAGTGCGGCATAACTATCTAGTATCTTTAATTTAGTTTGTCAGCAAGTTATTGTTATATTATTTGATCAAATCAGTTGGAAGTTTATGCTATTAATATCATCAGAGGCAAGCTTTGCTGGGTGATTGATAAAGTAAAGCTGTATCCCATATATAATTCCTGTGCCTAGCACTCATTTCCTACCAAAATGTAGAGTTGAGTTTCTCATTGTTTCTTTTTTAGTGAGCATTTGTCCTGTGCATTCACATTCTTTCTTCATGGGGAAAGTAATGTATGCACAAGTGTGGAGATTGCCCAACACCAGCCAATTTATTTGATCAATGAAGAGCATATACACATGGCTCAGTCTTCACCTGCACCATTTCAAGGTAAGTAAATGGCAATGTCCTGCCGTCTACCTCTCCCCCGCCAAGTGGATAGCCACCTTGCCCAGTAAGGTTTGCAGAATGAGATATTATCTTAAATGGACATTTTAAAGCTGAGCATAATGGTCAATTTCTGAAGAAGAAAGGAAAGACTACCATTTCATAATGAAAGCTTGCTAGTATTTTGCTGAAAGCTTAGAGCTTATCACATTTACAACATGGTCTTAGGTGAAGTTGTACTAAGGAATAAAATGTAGAGAATTGCCTTCAGAACAAAAGAAGATCAGTAAGTATTTGAAAAATAGAATACTATGAGTAATTGACATCTCTTAAAAATTAGTTTTCATTGTTTTGTTTGTTCCATGGTTTCAAGCACATAATGACTTACAGAAAATTACTGTTTTTGAAATTTCAACCAGAATCCTACTTCTAGAGTTGTATAGTTTCTTCAGTGATGTTAATATCTTTATTGTTTCTTTTAATTAGAGACTACATTGTAGGTATTTGGTTGTAATTTAACTTAATGTGTATATTTTCATTAATTCTCAGCTAATCACCTAGATTTTACCAAAATAACTCCATGTCCCCTTTTTCTAATCATGAATTCTAAATCTTTAGTTTTGTTTTTGGAATTCAGAGTTTCTATGAATAACTTTTTAAATGTTGTAATGTTTAAATGTAAAAATATTAGATTGAACCATCTGGAAAAATCTCTTATGGTTCAATCTAATTTATTACTAGAGATGCCTGGTTGAAGTGGTCCTAGTACATCACAATGTAATTTTAAAAAAACACTGATATTTTAACAGATTTGACTAATATATTTTTATTGACATAATAGCCTGTTATGAATGTTTAGCCTGCGTATTACTTATGATTGCTTTTTGGTTTCCTACAAATGATTCTGATTTAATTTGATGAAAACATCTGTTCCTTGCCCTAAAAAATACTTGAGCCTTTTTTTTTTAAGGTAGAAAAGGACATTGAATCCTCATTTAACTCTCTCCTAATTGTTACCTATTTTTTTTTTTTTTACCCCCTCTCTTTGTAATACATTTTAAACTATGTACTTTATTATTCTGTAGTTTTTGGTATTTGCTGTGTGAACTATAAAATTCAAAACCCAGTTCCCAAACTGTACACTTAAGAGTTGTACAGTATTTACATATTATGGATTACCAGAATTATTTAATACTGTGTTTTGTTAACTGTGAAGGTTCTGAGGACCATCTAACTTCATTCTAGACTTTATCACTGAAAATAAAAGCATTTATTTATGATAAGAGCAGAAGGAATTCCTAGTCACGAGGAGAGATAACTAACCTAAGTTGGGAAAGATAATATTAGCAATATCAGGTTTCCATAAACCACTTATTTTAGGTCTTACTGGTTTGTTGCTAATGCCTCGAATCATAGAAGACTTTTGTTATCCTGCTTATTTCTTATGATTGGTGTGGCAGAGGGACATTCTTAGGGCAGGTGTTGGCCTATAAATAATTATAGTGAACATAATTAACCATATTGATGTGGGAATTTCCTAGAAGTATTAATACAGAAAAATTGCCCTTGATTAAATATGTTGGTTGGAATCACTATTTTTATCCTATTTGGATCAGTGAGGAACAGCAGAAAGGTACCAAGAAATATGTGATGTCTGCAGCTATCACTGTCTTGAATGATGTAATGTATCATCCAGTTGTTAAAAAAAAATAAAGCCATCCAAAGAAAGAACATCTCATTTAATTATTATGCTGAATTTTTTTAGAAATTAGGATTAAGAAAAAGTTTATTTCCAGAAAAGTATTGTTTGGAAGGTTAACCTCACCCCAAGGTTACAAAGTGGCTGGGTTATATGCAGCATCATGTTAACTACATTTTTGTGGCTAGCTCAGTGAAAATAACATCAGGTCAAACATTGAAAGAGAAAGATAGAGGGACTTTGAGACCTTTACTTGGAGTATAATAAAGTTTTATTTAGAGTTGTTTCGTTAACAGACCTTTAAAACAGTTGTAATTGAAATTACATGTTTCAGACTTGGTACATCAAGACCTTTGCTATTACAAGTTTTATTTATATGTTATTTTTTAAATGACAGCAGATATTTAGGAAGTTTCAGAAGCCCTATTCAAGTGTTCAAGTCCTAGGCAGGTTTTGGGGTATATGTATTAAATGGTTTTCTTTTGTTATAAAAGATTCAGTGTTTGCATTGTATAAATTCTTATCCAACAGGTGTTTAGATGCTTTTGTAAATAGTTTATATATTGTGTGTTGCTACAGCTGTCTGGTAATTTTTTTTTACCTCCCCCATTTGATTTCCTTAAAAAATTGACGTGTGTTGAGAGGCGTATAGGTAAGAGGTACTAAAATGAGGAACTTTAAAAAATAAGACTTTAAAAGGAGTCAAGAAATAAAGGGCCATATCTAGTAAGTGAGGCTGGGCTTTAGCCTAAATGACCATGTATGTAGCATTACATTGAAGTAGGAGTTATTACTCTGATCTGTAACATACGTTTCTCCTCCCTGCCTTAGTACTGGTGAGTCCTTATGGCTTAAATGGCACGCTCACAGGCCAAGCATACAAGATGTCTGACCCAGCCACCCGTAAGTTGATCGAGGAATGGCAGTATTTCTACCCAATGGTGCTGAAAAAGAAAGAAGAATTGAAAGAAGATGAGGAGTTGGGATATAATGATGATTTCCCTGTGGCAGTCGAAGTAATTGTTGGTAAGAGAAAATATTTTGCCTGAAGAACTTTATTCGATCTTCTTCATCTTTCTTAATTTAAAAAGATAATCACTGAGATTCATCAAAAATAATCTCCATAATTTTCCCATCTTTTTTTTAATTCTCTTGGTACAGTGGTATATGCCGAGTAGTTACCTTGCCTGAAGCGCCAGTGGTCCCTGTGTTCCAAGTGCTATTATCATAATGTTGGAGACATGTTTAAGCAGCTATTAACTTAGGAAGGAATGGAGCACAGCACTTTTGGCAGTACCTAACGAGCACCTCATTTTCGTCATTGAGCTTTGACTCTGACCACTAGAATGATAAAGTTGGCAGCCTGGTGTGACCTTTTTCTCAGGCTTGGTTCACTCCTTGCTCTTTTTCCTTACAGGTGGTGTTCGGATGGTTTATCCTTCGGCATTTGTTTTGATCTCTCAGAATGACATCCCAGTTCCTCAGAGTGTTGCTGGTGCTGGAGGCCATATTACAGTGGGGCAGCAGGGCCTCGGTAGTGGGAAGGACCCAAGTAACTGTGGGATGCCTCTTACCCCTCCCACCTCTCCAGAACAGGCTGTCATAGGTGAGTACAATCCAGAAATGTACTCCTCCAGGTAGAGGAGATCACAGAAAACCATGTAGCTCCCTTGCCATGGAACAGATGAGTAAACTCACATTGAGAAATGCCTTATGCAAGAGGTGGAGGTAGAGTGACGTGGGAATTTTGCAAAGCAGAGGAGGAAAATTTTCAACAAACAGAATCGATGTGCTTCAGAATTTTAATTGTGCCCTGTTCATCTGTTTATTCCAGTTAGGCAGTGTAGTTGTTTCCCTTAAGTTCTGTACATACATCTGTCCCTTTACACACATGTATGCACATGCACACACACAGACATACACAATCAGGGGACAAGGTGTAGGCTGCTCTTTTTTTTTTTTCTTAAACAAATGGAGAACACTAGATCAGAAAATGGCTGAAGCATTTGCCCAGCTGGCTATTGACAGCCAGGGACAAGTCTGGGATAATTCTTTTCTCGTTACATTATAAAGGTACTCTAGCATTCAGAAGCTCTCAGTAAAACGCCTTGTTCTGTCAGTAATCTGTCTACATTACTGATAAGTATTAGTTATATATGAAACTTTAAAAATTTTCCTTCATGAAAAAATTCAGAAAGTGTTTAAATTGGGAACATTTTGCCATCTTTAGAGTAGTATATATTCTGTATTAACTTTTTGGTTGTTGTAGTTGACTTTGTTTTAATTGGAAATCTAGTCACTAAGGAAAGGATATTCATCAGACTTGAGCTGAAGTGAGATTATATATAGGCTTTTCAATGTGGGCCATGTTAGCAAAAGCATCAGAGTAGATAAGGTCTTGGCTGCTGAACTGAAAACAGAGTATCCAGCATGATACACACTACGTGGCTATTTTCATGAGATTAGATAAGACAGTATTTCAGAGTTTCTAGCATGGTGCTTGGCATGTGGAGGGTATTCAATAAATGTTCATGGTTAAGCAATATATTGGGGGCAAGTATAGACATTGTGATTGAGTGCACCTAATTTAAAAATCTGGCTATCTAGCTTTTACTAGGTGAGTTGGCCTTATGAAATTCTCAAGCTTGGCCTGAGCCTCCGTTCCTTCCCTGTTAAATACTATGTACTTGACAGAGCTGTTACACATACTAGGTAAAGTACTTGACAGCGCTCTGTAGACAGACAGCAAAGCAGTATATAAATGGTGGCATAAGCAATTGGAAGCAGTACTTAAAACACGATTATGTTACCTAGAAGGAGTTACTCAGATACGCTGTGGAAGGCATAGAAATGGGCAGCCGGCAGCCTCTGTCTTTAGGAGCCATGCAGTTGCTAAGACAGTAAAAAAAAAGGGACATCCAACTCTAATATGGTGGAGCAGAGAATTTGGAAGATCCCCTGTGAAAGGATTTGCTCAATTTTTATTAAAAAAGAAAACAAAAAAAAAAAAGGAAAAAGAAAAAATATTTTACAGGCTTTTTAATAATCATCATAGAGAAGATATATATATATATTTTTTTTTTTTTTAAGATTTTATTTATTTATTTGAGACAGAGAGAATGAGAGAGAGAGAGAGCACATGAGAGGGGGGAGGGTCAGAGGTAGAAGCAGGCTCCCTGCCGAGCAGGGAGCCCGATGCGGGACTCGATCCAGGGACTCCAGGATCATGACCTGAGCCGAAGGCAGTCGCTTAACCAACTGAGCCATCCAGGCGCCCCGAGAAGATATATTGATATAGAGACTAGAATTATCAGTATTTTGACAAATTTTGATGACATTTCGTATTGAAGTTTGGATTTTAAATAACTGCACTACATAAGTTGTCGTCAGTTTTTGTTTATCTGTTTTTGTTTTGCCTGGTACTTAGGGATATTTGTATTCAGCTTAAAATTGAAAGCCTGCTGTATGCATGATGTCCTGGCATCTGATCAGTTAGGAACTCTAAATTTCACAGTTCAGAAACACCAGGTTTTGTTTACTGTGGTTTTCAGTGTGGACTTCCTAACTCTGGGTATTCAAATTACTTCCTCTCTGACTCTATGTATGTCATTGTGCTAAGCCCTGGGTAAATAAATCCCCTGATGCCTCCTCAGTCTCTAAAACAAACTAACTAAATAAAAGCAACTGGAATCTTTGTTGTAAAATGCATTTGTCTTAATTTTCACATCATGATACAATGAATTATAGCTTAGGACTCTTAATGTTCTATCAGAGACAATTCTGGTCAGCCTTGTCATTCTGCAGTTGACTAACATTGAGCATTGCTATGTTTTCCTAGATACAGGACAAAATGGGTTCCCTTTTCTCCTAAAATGGCCAAGAATCTCCTAGATTATCAGAGGACCTAGGAGGGCCAACTGGTTTTGGTGAAATCATTCATGCCTTATGTGGATAGGTGCCTCCGCTTGCGGTCTTTGGAGATAATTTTGAGAAACAGTATTCAATATATGTTTGACAGCATAGAGTATAGGTCTGGTCTAATTCCCTATGAGGTATCATCCACATTTTAGTTAAATCATTAAAAGCTACTGAAAAGCATTAACCCAACTTTAATCCGAAAAGATCATGCCTTATTTTCCTCACCCCTCTCACTTTTTGGTCATAAATTAATCCCGTATGATATCATGGACGTATGATCTCTTTAGCTAAATTGTAAGGTGTTTGGGAGCAAAGGGCTATATGTTCTACTTCTGTTTGTTTCACTACTTGTCCTACTTTTATAATAAGCATTTGAAAATCCATTGTAAAATTGAAATGAATTATTTTGTACCACAAACCAAGTCAGGGAACTTTTAAGATGAAAGCAATGAAAGACCAAATTTTTGTCTCCTTTAATTTATCTAATTTGTAATATAATAATACTTTTATAGGGAACAAGCAATCTTCAGTTCCTGAGAACGTAAGCATTTTGATACTGGTTTTTGGGTTTTGTTTGTTTGTTTATTTATTTATTTTTAAATAGAGCTAAGCCTAACCATTCAACTCATATAGTGGTTGTGTTCCAGCGTATCAGGACTATTAATTTGTGGTATAAGGTTGTTTGTTTGTTTTTCCGATGAGGGTGGAGATTTCCAGAGTGCTTAAAATTGATTATTTTGGTCAAGATGTTTTGTATCATAGTTCTATTGAGAATAAAACCCACAATGTATTTATGAAGTCAAATAGATGAAAGTAATTGAATCAGAATTTAATACTGGAAATTGACTTCAGTATTTGTCTTGTATGAGATAGAAATAGTAAAATACTCATAACATAACCAAAAACCAGTATTACCAGTAATCATAGTGGACCTAATAGAAAGAAATGGGAGTACATACCAACCATAGTTGGAAAAGCTAAGTGGAGTTATTAGAAACTAGTGAATAATCCTCTGATACAGAATGTCGAGATAACCTCTTTCAGTGTTTTAGCACTAAGATATTTCATAAATAGTGTCAGGCATAAGGACAAACAGTTCCACACACAAATTTGAAATTTGACCTTGTTAAAAGCTTTGTGCCATTAAGTTCTGTCTCCGACCCAGGGCGCTATGTGCAACTGTTACACAGCTTTTAAGCTAAATGAGCAGAAAGCTCCCTCTGCTGTTTTGTTCTGCCTTGAAAGTTATTTATTGCATTGTGGATTTAAAAATTTAAAACAATCTATTCATATTTACATCTTTAATACTGTGATGTATGAGCCTTTACAAGTAAGTTATCTCCAATATCTGTAGAGTCGAATGCCTCTGTTATGGGTATGCCCTTGGGTTGTGTGAGTATGTGAGTGTTGACGTGATGAACTATTTTAGGGAGAACACAAAGAACCATACAAAGTGCCAGTACACACAAATTATGCTCAGAGCTACAGATAGTGTTATTGCCAGGGTGTAGGGGCAAAGCTACATGAAGAATATAAGTTTCAAAACTCAAAACATTTCTGTTAAGTAAGCTTGCAGTCTGTGCGTACTGGTAGACCTTTTCAGAATTTTTACATTCCCAAATTGTCTTTTCCAGGGGAGAGTGGAGGTACACAGAGTGCGGTCAGTCACCTGGGCTCCCAAGATGGGGGGATGATAACTATGCACAGTCCAAAGAGATCGGGGAAGATTCCTCCAAAACTCCACAATCATATGGTCCATCGAGTCTGGAAGGAATGCATCCTCAACAGAACCCAGTCCAAGTATGACTTTTGCATTACGTCTGGATCATGGTTTAGTAACACCATCTCTTTGGTTACTATGTGAGGAGTGTCAATCACATTGTACCATTGTGTGACCAAACCTGAGGGGTCACTGGATTAGTAGATCATCTTTTTTAACATAATAGTGCCAAATTCAACGCAAGGATGTTAAAGATGTTTACTTGACTTGATTATCTAGGAAATTTTGACGTTCCTGATTATCTCAAGATTGGCACATCTTGAGATTGACATTTTTTAGCACAGATAGCTTAGTACAGTAGTCAGTGGGTTTGGTTTTCCTTTGTATACCAATTTATGAATGTTTTCTTTTTACAACGGGAGATGACCTTTGTCACATTTTCTGTGACATTGGCTGTTTTTAAATGACAATACAGTTCTGAACTGAACTGATGACAAAGGGGTATTTACCACCTGCTGTGCTTCTGTTGGTTGATTTGGGGAAGCCATGTTCTTTTCTTCCCCTACCTGACTTTGCTTCCGTTCTCCCCTACCTCTCCTATTGCTCTTCTCCCTGCCTTCCTTAACATATTTTTGGAAAAGAGGAAGAATTGATTCTAAGAAGAGACTGCTGGTGGTGATTATTTTAATTACATGAATGATAACAAATAGTCAATAAATACTCTTCCACTTACCAAGATTTATGTAAACATATTCAGCATATTTTCACATACTTGATATAACTGAGATGTCCCCTTTCTGGAGTGAGGCAGTAAACAAAGGAGTTTTCGTTCTCTAGAACAGAATAAATTTGGACACTCTTGCCAAAAACTGCTAAAAAGTCCACTCCTTTTACAAATCAGTTAAATGTTTCTTCAGTCACTACTACTTAAGAGTTTTGCATGCAGATATAAAACCTGTCATGTGGATCTAGCTTTTAGGAAATTCATACTATATATTTGTTTCTCAGTGAATTGGTTCTAGAGTAGGCTCCTGCAGAAGATACAGTACATAAAATCTAAAATAATTGCAGTGGGAGATTATATGTCATGTTCTAGAATTAAAAAGATACCTTAAAAATGATCCTTTGCTCTAGAATAATTGGTACAGATGTTTTCACCTCTATCTACAAGCCTGGATAATTTCCAAGTTAACATTTTCTTTTTCTTTTCCTCTCATTTACTGTCTTTGATTTTTATCACCACTAACCTGTCACCTCCACCAGCTCTAGCAGCCCCTTGAATCAGCAGCACAGAACAGGGCAGTGAGACAGCCAGGAGGGCGAAGGAGGGTGGAGAGCCAGAGAAGTCCCTCTAGAGCAGAAGTCCCTCTAGAGCAGAAGTCCCTCTAGAGCAGAAGTCCCTCTAGAGCAGAAGTCCCTCTAGAGCAGTCCCCGGAGCACTTGGTAGTAGCAGCTGTAGCCGAGTCGGAGTCGGCAGTACAGAAATGCTGCCCTGTGTCCTGACCGTCACTGTGTAGTAATAGACTCTGCTTTGTGCTACCAGTTACTAGTGACAAGTACGAGGTGATTTTTTCCTTGTCTTTAGTTCACATCACAAGCATAGAGTGCTGCTTAAATGCTAATGAATATAGGAGTGGTAAGAGTTTAAGAGTTCTATTTTTATTTTTATTTATTTTTTTTTTTTTAAGATTTTATTCATTTGACAGAGATAGAGGGAACACAAGCGGGGGGAGCGGGAGAGGGAGAAGCAGGCTTCCCGCGGAGCAGGGAGCCCAATGCGGGGCTCGATCCCAGGACCCTGGGATCATGACCTGGGCCGAAGGCAGACGCTTAACGACTGAGCCACCCAGGCGCCCCAAGAGTTTAAGAGTTTTAAACAGTCTCAGGGCATATAATTCACAGATGCTGTGAAAAAATAATTTTAAAAATTTAAGTTATTTCTACAAAATTTAGGTGGCTTTTTAAAGCAACAACCAATAGTGCCAGATAGTGTTTTAATTGCTCTGTCACCCATGTTAAAAAGTACATTCAACTTAAATAGAAATGTTTTGAATCTTGCTTCTTCTAGTGCATAGAACAAGTTGGTTCTCCCCGCCCACACCCCAACCCCTTGGATTGCTCTGAGCTATCTATTAGCTAGATAACATTACTATGTGAAATGTATTCAGGTCTTTTAACCCCATAGCCCCCCGCCCTGCCCCCATCGAGGTATGAATATTATCTCATGTTTACAGAAGTCACATTTTTAACCTTTTTTAGGAGGAGCCAAATGTCAACTCCAACTCTTGAAGAAGAGCCTGCTAATAATCCTGCTACTTGGGATTTTGTGGATCCAACCCAAAGAGTCAGCTGTTCCTGTTCTAGGTAGGTGGTAGAAATGGCAGAGTAGGAGTTGGATAGAATGGTGGCACCGTTTGTAGCCAATGGCTATCTCCTGGACTCTCAGACTGCTTCTTCCTCATTGTTTTATTTTGTTTTGTTTTCAGTCTTCCTCCTCGAGTAGAGAAGGAAAAGATAGGTCTTTTCTTATATACAGATGATAACAGTTTTATTGTCAGGACTCAAAAAGAGCTTTATTAGACAACTGGCCCCGTTATCAAATTGCTCCCACAAATTTCTTCATGGTAGCTTACTTCAAAACTTAAGGCATCAGTTTGATAAGACCATCTATTCCCCTTTATATGACTTTATTTAATTATTCTTAATTTTAAAGTAGGATAAATATTAAACAAGTTGGCTAGAGTTAATAGAATTTGGATTAAATAGGTCTTCCATAGATAATTTGTTTTGTTGTCCGTGCTGGTGTGTTTTGATGCTTCAGGTGGGTATTTGGTAACAACACCTGCCATAAAGCTAAACTTGTTCATTCATTTAGATATTTGAATAGAACCCTAAATTGATTTCTGTAGAAAATTTTTGCTCTCCTGGATATTACCTTGACTTATCACTCCTTGTGGTTGTAAAAAGTCTTCTTGTCATGGGCTTTCATTAGGGTTCTTAGAGTTCTTTCCTTTTTTTTTTAAGATTTATTTATTTCACACACATGCGAGAGAGTGAAGAAGAGTGGGCCCAAGCAAGGAGAGGGGCAGAAAGAGAGGGGGAGAGAGAATCTCAAGCAGACCCCATGCTGAGCACGGAGCCAGATGCAGGGTTTGATCTCATGAACCTGAGATCATGACCTTAGCCGAAATCAAGAGTCAGACGTTTAACCAACTGAGTCAGCCAGGTGCTCCAGGGTTCTTAGATTTCTTAAGTGTATGTCGGCTTCACCCCTAGCTCAGTTGACTATTGAGGATGTGATGGTGATTATTCACTTAATGAGCAACTTAAGAGTAGCTTTGCTTCCAAAGTCCATATTTTCACATTTGATACTGCTCAGCACTTAGAAAAAGTTCGGTTGAGATAAAGTATATTAAGAAAATGGCCATTCATTTCCCTAATTCAGATAGAGGTTCTTATTGTGACATAAATAAGTTGGCTTCAGGGTAGGGAGGCAGTCAAATGACCCCTGAGAATATATGCAAAGTGTGTGTGTGTGTGTGCGCGCGCGCACTTAAGCAGCAGTTTTGACACCATCTTCTCATCTTCCCCTGCACCTTACGTTGATTCTCTTTTATCAAGCTCTGCCTTTTTAGTCAGCTTTTTTTTTGGAGAGATGTTGTAAGTATCAGCCTAATGAAATGTGCACTATTGATTTTTTAAGAAGGATGTTTTTGAAGAAGTTGTTCATTAAGGGTCCTCTCTGAGCATGTGAGAATCTCTCTCTAGTCTCAGATAGGTGTGGTATACCAGCTGAATACCTATTTTACTTCTGTTTCTAGGCCATTGTAAATTGTGTAATAAAAAGCCTTTTCTTACTAACATTGATTTCTAGACAGCTCCCAGCCAAGTTATGGGCCACCTTTAGAAAGTAGCTAGGGTAAAATGTTAGTGTATTTAACTTTGCTTGTGCCCTCATCTTATTTTTGATCCTATTTTCCTTAATCTAGGTTTTTCATCTGTTAAAAATAACCTTTTTGCTGATTTCTGTGACATTTTTATTTGCTCCCTTGAATTATTTTTACCTGAAGTGTAAATAAATAGCACTTTTTCTTTAGTCCTCTGGAGTCATTCCTCTGTTTCCTCACCAGATTCATATACCTTCGGGTCTTTTTTTAGTTTTGCATTTCATTCCATGTCTTCCAGATATTTATCTCTAGACATGACTTCTCATATTTACTCTGGTCTTATATTTTGGGGGGGTGCCTTTAAGAAATATTCTTAATATTGACATGTGTGTTTTCTCACAAGTCAGGTATCCTGTTGCAGTCATTTTTATCACAATTTTCCCTTTTCAGCCTAGAAATTTTATCAATTATCATTTTTCTTCATTTTATAGATGAATCTTATCCTTGCATTTCACATTGATTTCCTTTGAAATGTCTATGATAGTAATTCTACTTGCCTCATTCTTTTAGCCACCATGTGTTTCTACACTATTTGGCCCTGCTTCTGGTTCCTTCCCACCACTGGACCACCCATATAGTTAGGCTTTTGAGCCTGATTTCCTGCTGCCTGCTTCACTGAGGCCTCTTACCTTCAGAGATTTGCCGTGAGAGTCTATTACTCACTGATGTATCTGTAATTGTAACCTTTTCACAATGTAGCTGAGTCATTAAATGCAACTGAAAAAAAATGACTTTGTAAGATTATCTAGTTTGCAAAAAGTCCTTACTTTGAAGAGGCTACCACAAAATATCTATCAAGGACTGGTGTGGGTAAATGCTCTGAGAAAATCCAAATGAAAAAGTTTTATGTAAAAGATTCTTCGAACTGTTTTAAAATAAGCACCGTTATAAGATATGATTGAGATATTTTCGGATGAGACATTCATCTCTTAGTGTGCTACTGTGCCCTGGAGATTAAAACACAATTTTTACCTTATTGTCAATAGCCTTATGCTTAAACAACCTTCTTCACAGTCAGATTTTTTTTTTTTTTTTTTTTTTTAAGAGTAGCAAAGACTTTAGCAAGAGTCTTTTCAGATTATCTACTGCAGGATTACCAAACCCATTATGGAATGGTCCACTCCTCACACTATTTAATGGCCTTATGGGGCAGTGTGGCCATCCTGCTGTCCGACTAAACCATCCCATTATGCCACACAAATCCGTTTTACTGCCCACTAGGGCACCATTGAGTGTGATTCAGCAGTAATTTAATGCCACCCTAGTGGCCTCAGAGAGTTACTGCTGCACGGGCAGGAGAGCTCACGTTTTTCCCTGGGTGGATTTATATATTGGGAGGAACTGGCTGACCCGCTGTATAACTTTGTTGCACACAGATTAAACCTTGGCATCATCTAGTGGGCCCTTCCTGAGCAATATCTCACACCCATGCTTGCCAAGAAGTATGTTAGGATGTGAGTAGACTTGCTACCCTGCTTAGTACAGATGCATTTGTTGTTTTCATATTCACTCACCATCTTTTTACTTCTAATTTTGTGAGTCTGGAAGACCCAAAGTTGTCTTTTATCCCTTCTTTTTTTGATAAGAATGGCATATAAGGTTTCTAGTCTATTTATTCTGTTAAATATTCGTAGGATCGACCTTCATTTTCTTGTTTTCACACTTTGGGGGAGAATCACATAATTATTTTATTCTCAATTTACAACACTACAAGCTGTTATAAGCCATTCTATATTGTAGTAGAGTGTTGTAAGATAGAAATTGGAAGCTTTTTTTCTCTCTTTCTTGGCAAATGATCTCATTACTCTTGGTTTTAAGGTGCATTGTGAATACACATTATCTGAGGCCCTTACCAAATTTGAAAGATTTGGGGATTTTTCAAATCAGTCTTTTGGTAGGAGTTAGCACTGTTAAGTCCATCTCTTAACCTGCTAACTTGTGTGTGATTGATTCACAACTTTCCATCAGAGTGTTGGCAGTTTTTAGTCATTATAAAAATAATTAACACTTAGAGTCCTCTTCACTGATTTGGGGATCTCTTGTGTGCTTAAAAGATATAACCTTGTCAGAGGCATCTCTTTTGTAATGTTACAATGATGCAATAATGTTGTATTGTTACAGTGATACAGTTATATTTCAGGTGTGTGTTTCTTGACGTTACTTTAATTCTCATTTCAGGCATAAACTTTTAAAACGTTGTGCAGTAGGACCCAATCGACCTCCCGCAATATCTCAACCAGGGTTCAGTGCAGGACCATCATCATCTTCATCTTTACCACCTCCTGCGTCTAAGCACAAAACAACAGAAAGACCGGAAAAGGGAGACAAACTGCAAAAGAGACCCTTGATACCATTTCACCATAGGCCCTCTGTGGCCGACGAGTTCTGTATGGAGCAGGATACACCAGGACAGAAGCTAGGGTTGGCAGGGATAGACTCCTCCTTAGAGGTGTCTAGCAGTAGGAAGTATGATAAACAAATGGCCGTGCCTTCCAGAAATACAAGCAAGCAAATGAATCTGAATCCTATGGATTCACCTCATTCCCCTATTTCCCCTCTGCCGCCAACACTCAGCCCTCAACCACGAGGTCAGGAAACAGAGAGTTTGGACCCGCCATCTGTCCCTGTGAACCCAGCTCTCTATGGAAATGGGCTAGAACTCCAGCAGTTGTCGACTCTGGATGACAGAACTGTCCTCGTAGGCCAAAGACTGCCTCTGATGGCAGAGGTCAGCGAGACGGCCTTATACTGTGGGCTCAGGCCCTCGAATCCCGAGTCGTCAGACACGTGGTGGCACCATTACCGCCTCCCCCCCATTGATGATGCTGAGTTCCGGCCCCCAGAGCTCCAGGGCGACAGATGTGATGCCAAAATGGAGGTAAACTCAGAGAGCACTGCGTTGCAAAGGTAAGGAGACTGCATACCACCCAGCTGATCACCTGTTGACCAAGGCATAGGGTCCTGAGGGGGGCTTTCCTCCTCATCTCCCCATGCTCACCCTTCAGAGCCAAAATGAAAGATGCTTTTCTTCACCATTCTAGACTCTGCATTTGGGAAATGCTAAAAAGTCAAATGTTTTGTCCTTTATGAGGTTTCACACGTGTCGTTATTTAAACATGTTGGCAATATAAAGATTTCATTGTGGCATTTAGGACATTGGTATTAACTTATTTTTGGCCTGCTGTTAGTCAAAGAATATAGCTTGATGACACTTTCCATATTGTGGTCAGTGCCTTCTTTGTATGTTGACACTTTTAAGGAGGGCTTTGCATGCATTTAGGTATGTATCCTGCATCTAGTAATAATACTATTTATAGTGCTGTTGAGCTACCCATTATTCTTCACAGTTTACCCAGACCATCTCAGTTAATCTTCACCACAGTCATATTACTACCTTATTTTCATAGCTGAGAAAGAAGCGAGGGTCAAGCAGTTAGTAAATGACACAGATTGAACTTGAACCTAGGTAGTCTGTCCTTAGAGCCCATTTATGCTCTTAACCGGAATCCATGGAATCAGAGACAAAAGCATATTCTTCACAAAGACCTACTAAGTTTTATTTGTGAACATAATCTCTAAAAGAACTTCTTTAGAGAGAAAAATTTTCTAAGTTTAAGTTTTGCAAATGCTTTAAGTTATAAATGCTGCTTTAAAAAAAAAATCAGTCTTTTTACTTCGTTTACCTTGCTTAAATTGTCATTTATTTTCCCTTTTAGACTCTTAGCACAACCTAACAAACGGTTTAAAATCTGGCAAGAAAAGCCACCCCAGATGCAGCCACTCCACTTCCTTGAGCCATTGCCTCTAGCTCAACAACCTGGAGACAGTTTGGGAGAAGTCAATGATCCATATACCTTTGAGGATGGCGACATAAAATACATCTTTACAGCAAACAAGAAATGCAAACAAGGGACGGAGAAAGATTCCCTGAAAAAGAATAAGGTACTATTTAACAAAGAGAGTGTCCAGCACGGTGTGGGTTTTGATCTATGTCAGTACAACATGTGTGGGAAAATTTTGAGGCAGAATGTTTGAGGTAGTCTTGCCTGATTGCTCTGTCCCCATATTCATGCTCTTGGTATTATTGTATCGAACAACGTATTGTTCCTTTTTATGTCATGGCTCACCTTTGTTTAAAAGTCAGCTGAACATAAATGAAGCCTCATATTTTCCAGGCTATAGCTTGTACGGTGCATGTTTCCTCTCATATGCTAATTCTTGTTGGCCTATGCTCCCTGCTTAATTCTTTTTAATTACTATTCCAAAATATCCAAAATGTAAGGGAAAAAATGCTGATAACAATATCTATTGTTTATTGAGCGCTTAGTATATTTACGGTACCAAGCGCTTTACCTATATATCTATCTGAATTAATATCAACACTACTCCTAGATTGTGTCAGTATTAATTTTACTGGTTTCATTGTCATAAAAAATGAGTACTGGGGGTGTCTGCTGTCTTTAGCCTTACATTTTAAAACATTCCAAAATACTGGGCCATTTAAAGAGGTACTCTTGAGAATAGAGGAAATAAGACCATTAAAAGAGGCCTGTACAGTGCAGGAGAATGCTTGAGAGATTCCTTTATAGAGATCTGTCTAGATCCCGAAAGCTTGAACCATAGTTCAGCATCTAAAATGTTGTTAAAGGCAGCTTTTCACACCATGGCAGGTCTGTAATCAAATGCCACCAGTACTGGTTAGGCTAAAACCCAGATGGACTCAAGAATACGCCATAGGATTGGAGGGGCAGCGTGGGAGTTTTGGGTTCTGTTTAAATTCAGGGGAAAGGACATACCTTTTATTTCCCTTGGTTGCATAGACCATGGTTTATCATACTTGTGCTCATAACAAGTTCCATTCTACCCTCTAATTCTTTGTGTTCTCCCTCATATTCCACACTTTGGGTTGGTGTTCATGTGTTTTGTTTGGCTGAATTTATTATACAGTCAGAGGATGGATTTGGTACCAAGGATGTCACTACACCAGGTCATTCCACGCCGGTGCCTGATGGGAAAAATGCCATGTCTATTTTCAGTTCTGCTACTAAAACAGGTGTGTACAATGATTATTTGCCTCACTTGGATTGTTGCTAAAGTAAAATGCAAGGGAGATGCTTCTCGATTTAGAATTATATTTTTACTGTAATAGCAATAATTTGACCCATCTTTAATTTTTCATAGTTTGTTTTTCAGTTACTTTCAAAACTGATAAACATATTTGGAAATAATTGTCTCTAAATTTAACTGAAAACCTAGGGAAAAAGAAAAATCACAGGCAGGTCTTGCTCACTGAGATCCATGCCCTCTCCTCACTCCTTTTCTGTGGATGAAGTTGCTCATTCTGCGTCTTTGCCTCCTTTCCCGCAGATGTCCGGCAGGATAATGCTGCTGGCAGAGCTGGCTCCAGTAGCCTTACACAGGTGACAGACCTGGCACCTTCCCTGCATGACTTAGACAACATCTTTGACAATTCCGATGATGACGAACTTGGGGTGAGTCTGCCATAGCGACTGAAACAGAAATCTTCCTACATGGGAGGGCTTAGGTCACTGTTGGAGGATATCCTTATCGTTTGGTCTACTGAATTTTGGGGCCTCTTATTTCAGGTTCAGAAAGTTCTGCAGAAATGTTTGAATACTTTGAAAGGATTCTAAAAGTTGTCGGTGTAGTCTCTAACACCCCTTGGGTTCTCTTTGTTAATGTCTTCTTTTATTAGTTTCTTCCTGTTGTAAATTTTAAAATCTTTCCCATTCAGTTTTTAAATCCTTCTAAATATCATGAGACTAGTAGAAGTGTATTATGTAATCCCTTTATCTCAGATTTTAAAGATAATGCCCCGTAACTTTTTATTCATCTCATCAGTCAGAACTTAGTCTACATTTTGAGAGATAAACAGGTTTGATCTATACTTTTTAGGGTTATGGCACAATAGCAGGGAAAAAGGACTTATGTACCTAGAAGTTAAATAATACAAGGCATGATGTGGTTAAAGTGACAGGTAAGAATTATAATTCTTAGGAGAACAGCTGAGCGGCTCTGAATCAGGAAATTTATGTCCTTGTCCTCCTAACCACCTCTGTACTTTTGGGCAGATGGAAGTACCTGTTTATTTCTGGGGGACCAAGAAATGAGTAAGGTCCTTTCTTCAAGGAAATAAGTTTATCAGTTTATTTTTCTTTCACTTATGTATGTACTTAACCTTTCTTCCCTTTCGTCCATTTCCCATATATTTGTTACTCATTTGATGGTCAGTTCCTTTGTGACGTGTATTGGAGGTTACAAATATTATTATCCCGCCCTGATACTTGAGGTACTCACAGACCTCAGGAGAAGTAGCATGTAAATAAAGTTAAAAATTACTTAAAAATATACAAAAATATATACACGCACGCACGTTTATTACTGTGAGTGCTGTAATTGACCTGCGTCTAAAGATGCTGGACGTTCAAGTACAAAGTGACAGACGGGCAGTGTTTAAGTTAAGGTTTAAAGGTTAAGTAGGAATCAGAATTCTGAAGCCTGTTCTCACTTTAAAATAAAATGTATCTGATTAACAGATACTATACACCATTAGTAATGTTAAGTACTTAGGAGATGATGAGATCATAATGGCCTCCAAGAAAGGATTTGACTTAAAATGTGGAAAGACAGGGTTAGTGAGAGGCAGGGGAGAGGCATTAGTTTGAACCTGGAATGAGCCTTGGTTAAGCAACAAGGATGAACCAGCTGAGGGTGGGGAGCATAGTGAACAGACCATTGGTCTGCTCTCTGAGTGGTGGGTAAAGATTGACAGGGTTAGGAAGGTTTTTGACCACACTTACGGCTTTGGACTCCAAACTCTGCCTGTAATGTGCCCCTCCGTGAAGGCTGCTGAGTGTGGAACTGACTAGGTAGAAGCCAGTGCTGGTTTTCATCAGTCTCATACACAGAAAGCAGGAGTACTATTTGGTAACTTTGATTGGATTAAAACACAAGGACCGAAATTTAGGCAGTGGCTGTGTGAAGGAAAAGGACGTGACAGTGAGAAAAACTGTAGTACAAGGAAGGACATGTTTACTTCGTGTGTTGATCCAGGCATCCGAGAGCCTTTTTGAACTTCACTGTCTCCCTATACATCAGGCATTAGGTAGGACTGATTTTTTTTTTTTTTAAGATTTTTTATTTATTTATTTGACAGAGAGAGAGATAGCAAGGGCAGGAACGCAAGCAGGGGGAGTGGGAGAGGGAGAATCAGGCTTCCCGCTGAGCAGGGAGCCCGATGCGGGGCTCGATCCCAGGACCCCGGGATCATGACCTGAGCCGAAGGCAGATGCTTAACGACTGAGCCACCCAGGTGCCCCTAGGTAGGACTGATTTTAATGGTCCTTAGGGTTTGGTTAGCTGCTTTGGTGGGGATGGTGGGACGAAACATGAAAAGACAAGGAATCAAAAAGAAGTAGAAAGGGAGGAATAAGAAAGGGTACAAAGTAAGCATTGCGGAGTAGCCAGGGCCTGTTCACAGCCACCATCCCCAGTGATTGTTCTTAGTGCTCAGAGCCATCGTACTTACATCTGTATAAATTGTGTATTACTGTTGGACTAACTGAAGATATGTTTACTTTGGTTTTTGAATATATTCTTAGTAACATTAATATGTGAAGGAGGGTTGGACATTTTTAATCTAATTTTCATTTCTCTAAAATGATTGTTTCTGCTTTACTCTGATTTCTAGCCTGGCATTTAATCAAGAGAATCGCTTACCTTAGAATTGTTTTTGCTTAAATCATCTTACTGATAGCTGGTGTTGTGAGACTGTTCAAGTTTTCATCTCAGATGTCTTTGAATTTAATTTTACATTTCAACCCTGTGACATTGAATAAGTATACATATGTAAAAGGCCTTCAATTTGTGAGAATCTTTTTTTTTTTGCTTTGTTTTATCTTGCCACTAATTCATTTGAGTTCTTAAAGATAATCTTGCCTATTAAAGGACTTAATTTATTTTGAATAACAAATCAAAGAAACGCCCTCTCTGCATATTTCAATAATTTTATGTGATAAGGTTATTTTTTATGAAGATGAACAGTAACTGCGGAAATAGGAGCAGAAGATACATGGGATATTTTTTTGTGGTGAAAAATAAAAATACTTTGGGATGGCTTGAGGTCATCTCTTTTAACTGCCTGCTTCCAAACAGAAGGAAAACCAGACTGATAGCCAATTACTCCTTGGAGGCACCATCCTAATTTAATTATTGTGTCCCTGAAACCACTTCTCTAATGACCTGGGAGGAGGAAGATTTGTTTAAGGTCTGTAAGTTGTGCTTTGATGGTGCAGTCTGCCCTTACCAGATCCATGCAGAGAAGATTCAGTCACTGTGGTTTTCATTCTTGATAAGCTTGTAGCCTTCTCCTTGGCTTCACTGTCTGTGGCTGTTCCTAGAAGTTCACTTGTGAACACTATGTAAGGAAGCATCTTTATTCCAAAATATCAGTAGGCATATGTTAAGAAATAGTTGACTACTGCCCTACTTAGATCAAGTGTGTTGCCCTATTTTAATAATAATAATCTTTTCTTAGGCTGTATCACCTGCGCTGCGTTCATCAAAAATGCCTGCAGTTGGGGCAGAAGACCGACCTCTTGGGAAGGATGGAAGAGCTGCTGTTCCTTACCCACCAAGTAAGAAAAGGAAATTGAGCTTTGGCTTACTATTTATAACTTATACCAAGTGTTCTCATACTCAGTGGTGCCTTATCTGAGATTCCCCTCTGTTCCCCACCCCCTTTTTTTCTTTTAACAGAATATTAACTATGAATTAAAACTTGTATAAGTTGGAATTCCTGAGATGGGGCAGGCAGCTAAGAGACCATTTTAGTTGGAATTTCTTTTGCTTTTGTTTTCAAATTAATAATTAACTCTTACGGTTTAGAATGTGGAAAAATGGGTTTTATGTTTGTTTCTCTAATAACCTTTCTCTAGTAGGATAAATGCTACCCAGTGATTTTCAGAGTGATATTCCAGTAAAAGAGCTTGTGAAGATGTTTCAGAAAATTTAATTTACCCAAGGATGAGGAACATTTGCTATTTGTGGTCCTTTTTCTAATTCATACTGAAGTTTTTGTGTTTCATTTTGAGATCAAATAGTTTATTGCATATGATGACAAGAAGAGAAACTTCCTTTTTTTTTTTTTTTTTTTTTAAAGTTACTCTTCACCCTAGGAAACTACATTACTGTACAAGAGAAAAGACAGGGTAGCTTACATGGATACTCAGGCAGAAACATAATTCCATTGCAAATCATTCTTTAATACCTTCTCATTAACTTCAGCTGGTAATGAGAACAAATTGAGGGGAAAAACCACTATGTCATAGGGATGAGTCAAAAAGTTTTATGAACCTATAAATGTGTGCTGATTTACTCAAATGTAGAAGTGTGAAGTATACAGAGATTGGATTTTGACAGCTTTAGTAGATCCATAGCTTTTTAAAATATGCAAAGCTTTCTCAAGCATGACATGTATGAAAATGAATAATGGTAGCCAGCCAGTTGCTGTAGTTTTTTTAATTAAACATTTTTCTTTTTTTATTACTCTGCACTGCAGAATTTTGCAAACATGGAATTCACAGATTCAAAGAAACAATATTAAAGTAGATACGTATGGAATGAATGCATTTTTTCCCTTGTATTGAACCAGTGAACCCTCTGCCCTTTTTGACATTAAGTGATACGTTGTGATGTTAAATGTTAAAACGTCTGATAACTTGTCCAAGATTATTGGACTTAACAACATTGCACTCACGCACCATTCTGCTAGTCAGTGTCATTGCCCAGGAAAGTATATGTGTACTCTCTTCTCTCGCTCATCTTTATTCTGAAAATAATTATTTTCAAAAGGAAGCTACTCAAAATTTTATGATAAAGTACAGGTTATAAAAATTAATTAATATGAAATATAGCAAAAATATAAGCATTAGGAAAATACAGATATAAAAGAGTGAATAAGATCTTCCGATGTGCACGAAGTATACATGGGTAAATGTGTGTATGTGTGTGTATATGTACATATACACAATCTTCCTCCCAAAACATGACCATGAAATAGCATGGCAAGATGTTCTCATCTCTGCAAGAGCTTTATTGTACATTGAGGCGGAGAGACTGACATATTATAAAATTTAGTGTCTAGAACAACACCATTCAATTTAATAGAAATACAGTGTGAGCCAAAAATGAGAGCCACATAAGCAATCTTAAATTTTCTAGTAGTTACATTACAGGAAGTAAATAAGAACCATGTAAAATTAATTTAAATAATATATTTACTTAATATAACCAATAGTGTCATTTTTACATGTAATCAGTATAAAAAATATTGAGTGAATGAATATTTTACTTTTTTTTTTTTGTACTATTTGGAATCTTTTTTTTTGTTTTTTTTTTTAATCTGTGGAATTTTTTATACACATAGCACATCTCAGTTTGGACAACCCTTGGCTTGAGTGCTCTATAGCCTATGTGGCTAGTGGATACTGTGTTTGAGAGAATAGGTCCATAATTACTCATTTATGTATGTAGTAATGTAATAGTGAAGAAAGCAACACGCAGTAATAACTTGGTTTAATTTGGCATCGAGTGTGTGTTAAGGTAGTATTGTGTGATAATCATGCATACAATGGTACACCTCAACTCCAGCCCATTCTGGTAGCTGTTCTCGCCTTGCTTTAGCATTTTTAGAAGAAAATTGGACAAACAAGTCATGGTTTTCTATTTTGGAGGACCAGAATGTTTCTTTGGGTTTCTGTCTTCTTTCTATCTTACCCACTTTGACTCCATTTCTTTCATCTCAAAACCTGTTGAGGGTCATATCTTTTCAGAAATTCCTTGTAACTTAACAGCATTTTCGTCTTTTTTCCAGTCAAAAATGGGGAGGGCGGGCTAATTATTATTGGCTTCATCACTTACTGAATGTTTAGATGTTACATGGTGAAGCGTTCACTTCTATGCATATGTTATTTAATGTGTACAAAAAAATATGAGGTAGATATTATTACCATTTGCAGATGACAAACTTGAAGCTAGAGAGGTTAAGAGTCTTCCTTAAGAATATCTGATAATGGGGGGCGCCTGGGTGGCTCAGTCGTTAAGCATCTGCCTTCGGCTCAGGTCAGGATCCCAGGGTCCTGGGATCAAGCCCCACATCGGGCTCCCTGCTCAGCGGGAAGCCTGCTTCTCCCTCTCCCACTCCCCCTGCTTGTGTTCCCTCTTCGCTGCATCTCTCTCTGTCAAATAAATAAATAAAATCTTAAAAAAAAAAAAAAAAGCTGATAATGGGGCGCCTGGCTGCTGAGTCAGTGGAGCATGTGACTCTTGATCTTAGGGTTGTGAGTTCAAGCCACACGTTGGGTGAAGAGATTACTTAAAAATAAAATCTTAAAAAAAAAAAAAGAGTATCTGGTAATAATAGTGAAATCCACTTTTCTGAAGTGAATCTCTGGCAAGTAGAATCTTATTTTCCATACTTTTTTTGTGTGTTCTCTTTTACCTTTGGTAAAAAATATCAAGGTGGCTGAGGTGTTGAAAATTGAGATACATAACTGTGTTAGGTAGCATCGAAGAGTTTGAGTATCCCCAAGTGAGAAACACCTTTAGAACATTTCTTAGACAAAATTCAGTAGCCAATTCGGTAAAAATAATTTTTGGTAAAATTTTATACCATAGCCAGAATACTTGTATGTGAAGGAAAGGCTGTGTTTAAGTTCATTGTCATTTTAACACAAACAGAATTTGTACAGTTTATTTTCCAAATATTTACTTGATGATTAAGATCTATAATATAATAGGAGTTTGAAGATTTTATGAGGTTGACTTAGAATTTAAAATGTTATAATATACTTAAACATTAATTTTATGTTAAAATTGACCCATAGCTGTTCTTTGGCTTGGGAAAAGGAGTAGGGACTGAAAGATAAAGGTGATGGTTGTATTTCAAGTGGAACCTAACTCAGTATTAAAATCTTTACTCTTGTTTTAAAGAAAACTTACTGATTTCATTGCTGCTACATTTGAAGACCTGTTTTTCTTCTTCAGACTCCAGTGGTTCTCTGGGAGTTTCTGGCTTGGCTTATATCCCTAGTTCTATGAATTGTTACATTCCTTAACGGTAAAATACTGTCCTAGCAAGATGGTGCCTTGAAGATCTACTTGGGGGGTTTAGTTTTTTCTTTCCTCCCCCCCCTTTTTTTCCCTTTTTCTCTTTCTTTTTTTCTTGGCAGCAGCAGGCACCATTTTGTCTAATGAAATCTTATACAGAATCCTACTGTAGGGAATAAATGGAAGTGCAGCTTCTCTAATGAGAGGGAAAGTTGGTATCTGAGGTCCCGTCTGTTGGCCTCTTCCTTCCCTTGTCTTATAGATAAGCATCGGAGGCCAAGGGAGGGTAAATTATTCAGAATTATTTAATTGTTTAACTAGGAAACAAGGTAAAGATCATCTCATGCAGAGGTTTTTACTTTTTTCTGCCTCCATATGTCGGAAGCTTCCCTCCCCCCATAAACAAAGGAAAGAAAGTAAGCCTGGTGGGAATCACACATCTAGTTCAGCCATTTAGATGAAGGATCTGAAGCCCCCAGGGAGGAAGTGACCTGACCCGACTGTAGCAGCACTGAGCTGTGGATCCATTCTGGATGTTGCCGCTTTATACGGCTCTGCCTCAGACTCTAGCCCAGGGCAGAGTGTGGTGTGGTCGTTCTTTATTAATTTCTGATTCAGAAGTAGAGGTCGTATCTTAGTCTAGTCAGTGGTTACTCTTTGCCTCTTTAAATGCTGAAGTTGATAGAAAGAACAATATGATTGGAAATTGGGACATCAGGTGCCATTCCAGAACACTGACTTAAAGGCGGTCTCCAAATTTGTAAATAAATTTGCTGTGCAGGACACCCCCTAGTGGCCAAGTTTCACAGCTACAACTTACATTGCCTTATATCTGCTCCTGCATTCAGAATCCCTGCCTTAATGAGCCCCTGCTAATGATGATGGCTAACCTCAGGTATATTAAGATGTTTTTTAAAAAAGGATTGAGAATCCCTGTTTTAAGCATTTCTTAAAAGATACTTTTTTTACTAGTTGGATTTTTAATAAATTGTCTTTTGGTTCTAGGTAGGATTATTAAACCTAACTATGAAGTTTCATTTTAATGTCAGTATGGAATCATTTCCCTGAAGAGCAGTGAGTGTGGTAGATTTTTCAAACTAGCTAAGTAATCCTACTACATCTAAACCACCGTTCTACCTCCAAACAATTTCTATTTTCTGTAGTATAAATGCCTGATGGATTTTCCATGTAAAATTTGCTATAGGACATTTTTATATAATTCTGAAATATTTCATACATATTTGTAAGCAGAGATAGAACTTTAATAAAGTTATTCAATCTAATTTCTTTCAGCTTCTACTTATTTTCATCTCCTTATACTCTTAGGCGGTCATTTGTTAGAAGAAAAATGTATGTTACGTAGACTTTGTTCACTTAATTAATGTTGAAGCCAAATCATAAAGCATCAAGGGGATAGTGGTAAAGTTCCAGAAAAGGATAATTTTCTGCTGATGGCCTTCTTCTTAGAGACTTCCATTACTAATATTCTGTTGTGTAGCTGATACAACCATTCAATTAGCATTATTTCTGATGGCAGGTAGGGTGCCTGCCTACGAACTGGGATTTGTTAGAAGTCCTACCTGTTGAAATAAATATTGTTGTCTCTTCTCTTCTCTTCCTCCCTTCTCTTCTCTTCTCTTCTCTTCTCTTCTCTTCTCTTCTCTTCTCTTCTCTTCTCTTCTCTTCTCTTCCCTTAGCAGTTGCAGACTTGCAAAGGATGTTCCCCACTCCTCCTTCCTTGGAACAGCACCCTGCATTTTCTCCTGTAATGAATTATAAAGATGGAATCAGTTCAGAGACAGTGACAGCATTAGGCATGATGGAGAGCCCTATGGTCAGTATGGTTTCAACACAGCTCACTGAATTCAAAATGGAAGTAGAAGATGGATTAGGAAGTCCCAAGCCAGAGGAAGTAAAGGTAACTGCCAATATATTAATTTTATCAAGGCAGGGTGTTTTTTAAGCAGATTCACATACATCTTCAAAATAGTATTATCTGTATGCCATGTATACATAAGTTTCTAAGAATCCTCTGAATTGGATCACGAGGTACATTGCTTGGTATATTAACTATGGTGTCTTGATTAATTTAAAATTTTGGTATTAGCATTTTCTGCTGATTAGATGAGAGAGATACTGAATTCCAGTCATTTTTGTTATTGTTGTGGTGTGTCCTAAGTTGTTCACCGGCATTATCACTGGCCTCCCCTTTGTTGTCCCAGGACTTTTCATATGTGCACAAAGTTCCAACCTTTCAACCTTTTATGGGATCCTCCATGTTTGCTCCACTGAAGATGTTGCCGAGCCAATGCCTGCTACCTCTGAAGATCCCTGACGCCTGTCTGTTTCGGCCTTCGTGGGCAATCCCTCCGAAAATTGAACAACTGCCCATGCCGCCTGCAGCCATTTTCAATAGAGATGGCTACAAGTACGTGCAGGGACCGCGTCATGTTACCTGCCCCGTTGAATGTGGTGTTGATCTTAACCAAATATCTACTTAAAATGATGGCATCAGCATAGCATTTGAAACTTTCCTTTCTTGGCCATTCATGCTTTTGTGCACATTATTTTGTGTTGAAAATGTGCATATTTTCTAACTAAATTTTATGTACACGGATAAACTAAGATTATTTGCATAGCCAACCGTGGTGTTCATGCTCATTCAGCATCAGATCCGTGTCTACCACAGAATCAAACACTAGATTGGAGTTGGTAATATTATTTGGATAGTGGTGGTATTTGGTTTATATATTGGTGATCCCAAATGTGCTTACTTCAGGCACTTTAAAATCAAGTGTTAGCATGGACATTTTCTCTGTTGATGACCCCATGTCATATTAGAAAGCAGCAATGGGTTGTATGATACAGAAGAAGGAAAAGGAGGTGTTTATCGTAGCTTGGGCACATACCACTCTATCAAAAAACAGTAGTCTGTCACAATGTAGATTCAGTTTCCCCTATGATTAATAATTTCTTAATAAAATAAATGCTTTAAAATATAAGGCCATAAACTCAAATTTCTGTCAGGACCAGGTATGTGGGGATGACATGGGTTGGGGAAAGCAAAAGATTTGGCACCACTGATGGTCACTGTCATCCTGAGGGACAGTAGGAAAGAGCAGTTTGATGGAACTGTTAGGAGTATGCCTTACTCATTTTTTCATTCATTCATTCACCCATCCATCCACCCATCTATTCATTTTTTAAAAGATTTTATTTATTTATTCATGAGAGAGAGGCAGAGGGAGAAGCAGACTCCCTGCTGAGCAGGGAGCCCGATACGGGACCGCATCCCAGGACCCTGGGATCACGACCTGAGCTGAAGGCAGACGCTTAACCGACTGAGCCACCCAGGCGCCCAAGAGTATGCCTTATTTAAAGGGACTGTTTGCTATGCAATTACAGTGTATTGTTCAGGCAGGAATGCAGGAGACTGGAGTTCTGCACTTTTATGTAAATGTCCTTTTTAAAAATTGTTGGTAGCTAATTCAGAGTTACATTTTAGGAGCCAATAAAACAATAAGACAAATTCCAGATCCAGTCTGTGGGCTATATTTGTGACATCACATAAAACCCATCTTGACAAAACCAACTTTAATGTCATAAACAGGCTTTCTGTGTAGGTATGTAGAGTCAGTGTTGGAATGTGAAAAACTGTGATAGAGTGTAGGATAAAAGAACCCAGACTTGGGGAGGTAGAGCTGTGCTGTCATAGGACTCCATTCCTGCCTTTTTTTGTTTACTCCTGTGTATGACCTTAAATGACCAGCTTACCTGAGTCTTTCCCTTCTTTAAAATGGTATGATCCTGCCTGACTTCCTGCACAAGATTTTTGAAAGGTTCCAATGGTTGTGGAAATATTGTGGCAATAACAACTCACCAGCAGGAGGAAAGAATGTGCTCACAAGTACCCTGGTGGTGATCCCTGGGCTTGTTTTCGGCTGCCGTGCTCCAGTTGTACCTGAGCTTATTTAAGTAGGGACTGATCTAGTCCAGCGGAGCTGATAAGCCCAGAAGGGTTGCCACACCGTTCTCATCCAATGCAGCAGCTCCAGGAACCCATTTGACAGTTGAATTTCTTATACACGGAGACTCCTCAAAAAAGTGACACGCAGCCTTTGCTGTATGATAGTTTAAATAATAAATAAATAATTTAGACCATTGTTTAGATGTATTAAATCTATCCCTTGCCATCCCAAAGATCCTTGGTATTCTCAACTGGCGCTGTTAAGAACTTTCTTTGATGAAGGAAGTGTTTTGTATCTGCACCTTCCAATATGGTATCCCTGCCCTGATGTTGTAGCTGTGCATCTCTTAAAATGTGCCTAGTTGAGACCAAGGCTGAATTTTTAGTTTTATTCTTTCATTCATTCATTCATTTATTTATTTATTTTTAAAGATTTTATTTATTTGACAGAGGCACAGCGAGAGAGGGAACATAAGCAGGGGGAGTGGGAGAGGGAGAAGCAGGCTTCACGCAGAACAGGGAACCCGATGCAGGGCTCGATCCCAGGACCCTGGGATCATGACCTGAGCCAAAGGCAGACGCTTAACTGACTGAGCCACCCAGGTGCCCCTAGGCTGAATTTTCAGTTTTATTTAAGTTGATTTAAATTTAGCACATAGGGCTAGTGATAACCTTATTGGATAGCACAGTTCTAGACTATGTGAGTTCCTTCTGCTGGGGTCTCCATCACCTTGGCCACCCCTTTGTCACACTCAGCACACCAGCGCTCACTTGTTCGACATCTGTCATACTTGCTGTGAGCTAACTTTTCTTCCCCTTTTTTACTGTTGAATACCCAGCACCTAGCATAGTGTTGGTACTCAGTTCATTTTATTGAATGGGAAAAATCAGGTTACTATACAAGCTAAACCATTCTTACTACCTAGGGAGCAATTTAATTATTTAGGTTTTCATTTAGTAGTCATAGTTCCTTTTCTGATCTGAACTGTATAATAATTTCAGGGTTTTGTCAAACAGGAAAATTTGAACGGAGTCCAATTAGAGTAAAGATCATTATTACACACTTAATTATTTTGGTCTCTGAGGTAGCAGTGATTGCTAATCAAGGGTTCTGGATCATTTTTTATCTGTACTCAAAGATACCACTGTGCTTCAGATTTAGTTTCTTTCTGGTGCTTGATTTGGGTTTTTTGAGCTGGTAGTTTAGGTATAGCTAGTTAAAAATCACAAAATTATTTGAAGAGCCATTACTTTATGACATTCTTCTTCCAAATTATAAGTGAATGAATATGTAGTCTATTGGAAGAACATTAGTTTAAGCACAGTATTAATAGATTTCAAGAGAATATTAAGCATTAGATGAAATCTGTATTCTTTTGATACCTTCAAATTGGAAAGAATGGTCTCATTTGCTGTTTCACATGTACATTTAAGAATGTATATAAAAAACTTTTTTACAATAATAAAACAGCAAAACATTGTAGACACTATTTTGTTTTCTGTGTGGCTATTCCGAAAAGAAGTCATTGCTTATGAAAAAATAGATAACACATTGTGATCAGTCTGTGGGAACTAAAAATAATTGTGCTATAGGTAATGCATAGCATATTGAAAATTTAAAATGAACTAAAATTGCCTACCACCCCACAGAAATCTGTTAGAAGTTTGGAAGCTATGATACAATATGTGTACTGTGCAATTCATCTAATTAATACTAAGGTCTCCCAGCTACATATGTGATGTTGGTATTAATTGTAGTGTACTGGCCAATGGGTTTCCTACAGTTGAATTCCTTCATGGTCACTCAGTACTATAAAAATGCAAGCCTAGATAGGACTGTGCCTTGAAAATTAGAAAAATGGCAAATGTTCCTATGTGTTTGATTATAACTGCTTTAGATTCATATATGGATTATGGCCTCAGAGGACAGGTACAGTGGCCGACTTTCAATTTTAAAAAGTGACCAAAATGTAATTGCAGATTAGATGGAAATTTTATCCTGTGGTCTTCTAGCTAATTTAGCGTCTGAACTCATGTGTTAAAGTTCCACTTACCGGTTATAGTTTTTCAAAACTACATTGACCAAACCCAGCACCATGTTTTCTTATAAGAACAGTAAAGTTCCCTTGAAAGAGTAGGATGAAGATTGCTTAGATGTGGAATAAGTAGAAGGAAAATGGTGTATTACTCTTGGTGTATGGTGTATTATTCTTCATACCTTGCTTCTTGCTTTCCCATCCACTTTTATTGACTCCTTTGAGTCCTTTTTTTCTTTTTTAAGAAAAAATTGACTATACCTAGTGGTAGCCTGCATAAATGATAAGAACTGCACAGGCCAGGTGGGGTAATTGTGTGTGTATTCCAGCTTCTCTGACATGCACCCATTCCCGTTTGGTACTGTCTGTTGCAGTAATGTGCCTAGTGTCGGGAGCCTAGCAGACCCAGACTACCTGAATACACCACAGATGAACACTCCGGTGACGCTGAACAGCGCTGCCCCAGCCAGCAACAGTGGAGCAGGAGTTTTGCCATCTCCAGCAACCCCTCGCTTCTCTGTCCCCACACCACGAACCCCCAGGACCCCAAGAACTCCCAGAGGTGGGGGCACTGCCAGTGGGCAAGGGTCGGTTAAATATGATAGCACCGATCAGGGGTCACCAGCCTCCACCCCCTCTACCACGCGGCCCCTTAACTCTGTGGAGCCTGCCACCATGCAGCCCATTCCTGAGGCCCACAGTCTCTACGTCACCCTGATTCTCTCAGATTCTGTGATGAATATCTTTAAGGACAGAAACTTCGACAGCTGTTGCATCTGTGCCTGCAACATGAACATCAAAGGGGCCGACGTCGGGCTCTACATCCCCGATTCTTCCAACGAGGACCAGTATCGCTGTACCTGTGGGTTTAGTGCGATCATGAATCGCAAACTTGGCTACAATTCGGGACTCTTCCTGGAAGATGAGTTGGATATTTTTGGGAAGAATTCTGATATTGGTCAGGCTGCGGAGAGGCGCTTAATGATGTGTCAGACTACCTTCCTCCCTCAGATGGAGGGAGCCAGAAAGTCCCAGGAGCCGCCTATAAGCCTCCTCCTCCTCCTCCAGAATCAACATACACAACCTTTTGCTTCTCTGAGTTTCCTGGACTACATTTCCTCTAACAGTCGCCAGACTCTTCCCTGTGTAAGCTGGAGTTATGACCGGGTGCAAGCAGATAACAACGATTACTGGACGGAATGCTTTAATGCCTTGGAGCAGGGCCGCCAGTATGTGGATAATCCCACGGGTGGAAAAGTAGATGAAGCTCTGGTGAGAAGTGCCACTGTGCACTCTTGGCCTCACAGCAATGGTACGTTTCCCAGAACACATGTCTGCTTTGAAAATTATCTTGGTATGATGGTAAATTATAAACTTTCTTTACTTTGTTATAGGACAGAATTTTAAATTTCATTTCTTAAAAAAAAAAAAAACTAAAGTTAAGAGCTCTGTGGATAATCTTAAATCTAAGGACTGGAGCAATGTTATATCGAAACACCATTTGAGGAGACTGTTTTGTGAAAACTCCTTCTCATATTAATTCCTACAGGCAGTTCCTTTGGGAAGCTTATGACTGCTACGTATCTGCATCGATGAGAGTACACAGACAAATAGTTTGCACACCTTGCATGTTTAAATCCACCTATTCTAGATCAGTCATCCATGATACTTCCTCATGAAGCCTTCTACCCATTTCCAGAGCATTTTCTCCTTCCTTTGCTTTTCCAGTGTTTTGCATCTCTTATAACAATGATAACAGTTTACTTTGTGTTGTGGTTCCTGAGGCATGTCACTGGCTCTTCTATTATTAAAAGCTCCAGTTGATAAATAATCTGTGATGTTGAGCTCTTCAGCGAGCCATGCAACTTGCTGTTCCCTTCCCTTATTCATTCACTATTTATACTGTGATGCATCCTGGGGGATAAAATGACTGAAAGAGACAAGGCACCTCTTTGAGGGACTTTCTAATCTCTTCTGGAAGATGGACATCAGATTAATCAAATAATTATACAAATTAGCATATTATTAGGGTAAACCGTTATAAGCAATGAAAGCGTGGGGTGGGAGGGCCTTCCTAGGCTGGGGATCGGGGAAGACCTCCTTGAAGAAGTAGTAACATTAGAGATTTCAGTGCCAAGTACAGAGTAACTGGCTAAAGAGGGTAGAGAGCAAGGAATTGTGCCCCAGGCAGAAGGAGCAGCAAGAGGGAAGGCCCAGAGTTACATAGAGCTTGGAGCTTTGAAAGACCTGAAGGACTCTGTTTCAAATAAACAAATCTCTCTCTCTCTTTTTTTTTTTTTTAAAGGGGGTTGGTACCTGGGTGGTTCAGTCGGTTAAGCATCCGACTCCTGATTTCGGCTCAGGTTATGATCTCAGGGTCATGAGATCGAGCCCTAAGTTAGGCTCTGCGCTCAGTGGGGAATTTGCTTGAGATTCTCTCCCCTTCCCCCTCTTCTGCGCCGTTCCCCCCCCCCCCCCCCAATAAATAAATACATCTTCAAAGAACTGAAGGAAGCTTGGAGCTGGCTAGATTCCCAAGAGCCATTTGAGACCTGCTGGGGCTGGGAGCCCTAACAAGTCATTGATGGGTTTATGAAGAGGCATTGACATCTGATTTGTGTAGTTAAGAAACAAATAAGCTCCGACTGCAGTGTAAGCTGTGGATGTGGAAATGGCAGGAATGGTGGAGAAACGAGGGGGTTAGTGCAGTGGCTCAAATAAGAAATAATAGCTTGGTTTCTTGTCTTAGCAAAGGAGATGGAAAAGAAGTGGAAACATTCAAGAGATGTTGAAGAAGTAGTCGGACTGCAGGACTTGGTAGTGGGTTGGATTTTAGGGGTCACAGAGAGCGAGATGTTAAGAGACCTGGGTTTGTGACTTGTAAACCTGGACAGATAGTGATGTCGTTCAAAGATAGGTGTACTGGAGGAAGACCAGGTCTGGGGAGAAAGCTCCCTAAGTTGAATTTTGGAAATTTTAAAGATCTCTTCTGAGATATCCAGGTAGAGATGTCAAGTAGACACTTAGGACTTCATGGGCCTGCAGCTCAGGGGAAAGGGAGTAGTTGGCTTGTAGATACTCAAGTCAGGGGCACAGAGGAGGAGGAAAGCTCACTGAGGAGGAGGAAACCTAGAACGACAAGAGGGCTTGGGACAGTTTTGCTGAATTCTATGTAACCAAGTTTCAAGAAAGAGAAGAGTAAGTGGTCAAGAAGCATTAAAGTGCTGCTGAGCTTTTAAGAAGAGGATTAAACATACCTTTTGATCATGGTGAGGAGCTGCTTCTGTAGAGAGGTGGGAACAGGTTGGGCTGGTGTGGTCGGTTACATGAATGAAACATGGACCTTGCTCTGAACAGCTCTCAGTCTTGTAGGGGAGAAGGTTATATAAGCTTCTTAAATACAGTTGGAAATCTGGAATGAGAAAGTATGTTTAGAGGACAGAGATCAGTAGAGTAGGGGATGATAGACATTTTCTGAGTAGCCAAGCCAGGAGACTTCTCGGAGGTGGAGACTTATAAGGAAGTATTCAAGGGTTACGCTCATGTCTGCAACTGCTTAGGTTTGAGCACAGTGCCTTGTACTTAGCAGGCTTCTAATTAAAGTCTGCTGGATGCATTTATGAATAAAAGAAAGTACAGTCTTTCCCCTAAAGAAATGTGGGTGATTATCTTGGGTGGTTCCTTTTACTAGATAGTAGCCTTCAGATAGAAAAGCAGTGTGTGGGTGGATCAGTACTGTCATCTTTGGATATGAAGAATAGCAGAGTCTATTGCAGGGGAGGTGTGGGTTCCAAAGTCAGAAGCTTAGTACCAGACAGATAATGTAAATGAATGATGCCAGAGCCAGATTTGCGAGCAAACCCTCGCTGTGTTTGGCAGTAACACGTTCTCCGCTGTGTGCCCACGAGGAGCCACAAAAAATGATGTCTGCTTTTTTCTCTGACCTGTGGTTCTCTTGGTCTGTGATTTTCCAACTTTTCACAGGAGCCACGGGTACAAGAAGTACTTTTTTCTTTACTATAAGAAAAAAAGAAGCCCAGGCTTGAAGATAAAGGCGCTCACCGTTGCTTCCTTCTCAGGCAGGCAGCAGAGCTGGGTGGGGAGAGCCGTCTGAAGGGGGCACCGCTCCTTCACTCCAGCCATGCTGCTCGTGCAGGAATGGGGCCTCCGGCTTCCCAGGTCTCCCAGTTTTTCCTGAGATGCTGGCAATTTAGATTAGCAACTTGTGTTTGATTTAGGGATACACCTAGAGATGTCTTCACCCTGTGTTTCAGATTTGGTTGGTAGATAAACCTTAGATTTCCATCTGTGCTCCTTTCCTAATCAGCTAGAAAAGGAAGAGTAAGGAAAGGTCTTTAGGTATGCAGCTGATCACCTCAAACTTCATTAGCTCTTTCTTCAGATCTTTTTGAGAATTTGATGAGCATGTTTATGGACCTTTCTCCCTGGAAAAGAATACACGTATGTTCATGCGTGCACAGTTTTGCATAGAGTCTGAGAGGTTTTTCAGGTTCTATGTTAAGAGCCCCTCCTCTTAGTAGGAAGAATGTTACATCTGAAACCATGAATCCTACCTTTTTCTGTGGACAGATGGCTTTCAGTCCTGTCATTGCTTTCGCCATGTTTTCTTACGCCTCTGCCTGCGTGGAAAGTTGTCTTTCTCTCTGTGCACTTTGTATTTTGTGAAAACATTTTACATTAAGAGCATTTTAACAGTTTTTAAGAGCTTCTGTTTAAGTCCTCCCCCCACACTGATCATACTTTCAAAACTTTGATATTTGTAAATAAAAGTAATACAATAGTTAAGAAACTTTTACAGCTCTCTTTTCCTATGAACAACCTTGGAAACAGGTTTGAATGATTTTAAAGAGTCAGCCCTATCCATCCTTTTACTTCTAAGCAGTTCTACAGTTAACCTCTTATATACAGAGTAACCTATTTCTCCTTTTATTGTTTCCAATAGTAAATTATAAATTACTTTATAATAAATAAAGTAATAAAATATCTTTTCTCTTGACTGGGAAGTCAAGCATTTTAGAATCTACTGAAAATAAAATCTACCACGAATAATGTCTTTGTCATGGACTATAACTGAGGTCCAGAATGATGGCAGGAAAGAGGAGAGTGTTGATCCCCCTTTATGATTTCTGTTCTTTTTCATTTCCTTTCTCTTCCAGTGCTAGACATCAGCATGCTCTCCTCCCAAGATGTGGTCCGCATGCTGTTGTCACTGCAGCCCTTTCTCCAAGATGCCATCCAAAAGAAGCGCACGGGCAGGACCTGGGAGAACATACAGCATGTGCAGGGACCACTGACCTGGCAGCAGTTCCACAAAATGGCAGGACGGGGAACCTATGGTAGAATCTCTTCCCTGTTTCAATTCCTTCTTAATTTTTTTTGTTCCATAAAAGCTAGCTTTAGTTACTTTCAAGCCCTAGCTTCACTGACGAAGTAGAATCTTTTTCTTCATGACTATTAAATTTTATAATCTTTTTTCTTTCCTAAAGTCAGTTTGGAGTTCAGTTTTCTAAGCATCTTTGACAGAACCCAGGTCAATGAGGAAAATAATCCTTAAATAGAGTATTCATTAGATTTTCCTCATCTTCCTGATCCTCATTGTACTTCCATCTGGATGAACTTCTGAACTAGTTCTGTCACCTTCTTCCTAGTCAGGATTATAATGCTTAATTTAAAGGAAATGATGTAGTGCTGCTTGGAAAACTAACTTTAACTTGTTCTAATCTGCCCTCTGATCTTATTGGACCTTTATAAGCGCGTTCTGACTCACTGAAATGAGGTTCTTCATTGGGGGTCATATAATTAGAGGATTTGAAGAATACTTTTGAGTGATCCTGTCAACCTACGAGGAAATTTCTGATGCCAGAATTAAGACTAATGCAGCAAGAACTTCTAAGTTGTCCAGGTTGTGGGAAACAGACTTGCAAGCGCCTTTCTAACTGCCTTATTGTTACAGGTTCAGAAGAATCTCCTGAGCCGTTGCCCATTCCCACTCTGCTGGTAGGCTATGACAAAGACTTCCTCACCATCTCACCATTCTCTTTGCCATTTTGGGAGAGGCTGTTGTTGGACCCATATGGGGGCCACCGTGATGTTGCCTATATTGTGGTGTGTCCAGAAAATGAGGCCTTGCTCGAAGGAGCCAAAACTTTTTTCAGGGACTTGAGCGCTGTATATGAGGTGAGAATGACATGAAAATCATTTTTGTGATTTGAGTCCTCAGATTGTTTCTAGCTATGACTAAATTTTAAAGAACAAGTATCTTCAAGGTAGATCTCAAAGAAAATTTGCAAATAGTTGAAGGATAAAGGAGAGAATTAAATTGGCAAGTTTTCCTGGAAGTTAATTGCTTTCCCCTCTTGGCTTTACATTTTGTTAGATTTAGAAGACTTTGCTCTGCCAGCCTTACCACACATCTTACAATTCTGTCAGCTGTTTTTTCCTCATTTATGTGCTTGAGTTTAAAAGTTTTGCTTACCAGGGGGTGTTCTGGCTGTTCAGAAGATGACCTTTACCAAAAGAAAGCACATCTCTTTGGGGGGGGGGGGGGGTCCTGAAAAAAGTATAAAAATGTCTACCTTGAAGATTTTTGAATCACGTCCCTGTTGTGTATTTAACACTACATTCATCTTAATACTAAAGTTTTGATACAGATTAATAATGTAATAACCATAATAATTTAAAAGCCGGTAGATCATTTTATCTATTTAGTACACAAATTACTGTTACTATTGAAAAATTAGAATCATGAGTATCTCTGATGATTTTTTCTGCCAAAATATATGTACACTAAATTCTTCGTATCTTACACTTCTAATATCTTTATTTTTGGCAAGATTAAATGAAATTAGTATTTATGAAGAACTGTTACAGGCATATTATAAACATTACAAAAGTGTTTGTTAAAGAAGATGCCAAGTAGAATTTCTAAAATATTTCATAACGGAACATTCGCTATCTGGAAATGGATGGGCACACGTGAAATAGCAAACTTACGTGTTGCTACAAAGAAGTGAGGAGATGCTAATGCATGAGGTAATAGCATCAGTTAAGCCCCTAAAGGAACCCTTAGATACAGTAATTTCTGTGTAGTGCCTGGCCCATGGATGTGTAATGCTATTAAATCATAAGGACCATAACACAGAAAACTTGTCTAAGCGATTTTTTTAAAGCCCAGCTCTTCTCTTGCATGAAACTTTGAAATGAGTTACAAAACATAAAAGCATTGCTGGATCTTTTTAGAGCCTAATGACTTTACTAGGATTGCTCATTGGGCGGTGTACACACCTGGTTAAGAAGAGTGTGTGCTAGAGAACTTTGTAGGGACTTGGTAAGCCTTCAGTTATCACCTCTAATAAGGGATAATGTGGGCTCTCCTGTTGGTGAATAGATAGTTAAGTAGCTTATTTTTTGCAGGTGTATTTTATTAATTCTTTGCCGTAAGTACCCATTTAATGTCCTGGAGATTAAGAACAGAATCTCATTGTGCTTAAAACAACTGTTTACTTTTAAAAAGTGATCAGCATATCCACTGATTCAGTGGCCTCTGCTATTGGTGATCTCCAAATGTAACAGTGTAACAGATGGCCCATAAAATTTTAATGTTATCTTATGGGAAAACATTATGAGTAGGGATTACTTAAGAGGTTTTAGTGGACATATGTCTCAGTCAGCCTTAGTAAGCAGGAATCTGGTTAATTCTTTATTTGACCATTAGCAGTCAGGTAGTGCTCAGTGATCTTCCCTTGTATGGGAGGAATTGGCTGGGGTGAAGAAGCATTTATTTTTCTTTAGAGGGTCTAGGCCAGTTTTTGGAGAGACGGATAGCCGTCTCAGCATACATTATAATTATCAGAAAGGACCAGTGTATAATGTTGGTTTGGTTGCTTGTGTTAATGCTAAAAGAAAAAAAAAACAAAATACTTCCATGTGGATGATGGTTTCCCCCACTGACAGCAGGAGTGGTTCCTATTGTAAATAATGATCTTGCTTGTGGTATCAGATGTGTAGGCTTGGGCAGCACAAGCCCATCTGCAAAGTGCTACGAGATGGAATCATGCGCGTGGGAAAGACCGTGGCCCAGAAGCTGACTGACGAGCTTGTGAGCGAGTGGTTCAACCAGCCGTGGAGCAGTGAGGAGAATGACAATCATTCCAGACTCAAACTTTATGCGCAAGTTTGCCGCCATCACCTAGGTAAATGGGAATTTATTTGGCTAAGTAGAATCTGAGAAGTAAAATAGCAAATTGTCCCCCTTTGGGAAGCAGCATTATGCTACTTTTGTCTCAGGTAATGTTAGTGTTCCATTACTGTATTTATTTAGGTCTAATTTCTGTGTTCTAGGTCGTTAAATGCTAATTTTTATGTGCACACACAGTCTTTAAAAGCAATTTAAAGTTGCCTGAAGAAGTCATATCTAATTTACTCCACATTTTGAAAACTTAGCAGCAGGACTTGGTATTAACTGCTTAAGTTTAACTGGCATTCCCAAGAGAATCTTGGAAGTTTTTAAAGCTCAGTACACAGAGGAGCCTGGTATACCGTGGTGGCGATAGAATAGATGGCCTCTCAGTTTTCAGTGCAGGCAGGCAGAGTCAGTCTGAAAGGAAAATGATACAAGGGATTAATTTTCTTTTTTTTTTTTTTTTTCAAATAAGCCTCTTCACCAGAATTTATAAAAAGTAGCTTCGTGTTCATTTCCATGTTTGCAGAATATGGAAGCATATATTCAGATGTGGAGATAGCATTTTGGGTGTCATAATCAGAGTACTGCAGCCTGAAAGCATAATTTAAAAAAAAGTGGCCATTCTGAATTTCGGATTCAGTCCGACACTGCAGAACATCACTGATGTCACCTCTCTGCACGTCCTCTTTCAGCACCTTATCTAGCCACTCTGCAGCTCGATAGCAGCTTGTTGATACCACCTAAGTACCAGTCCCCACCAGCAGCAGCACAGGGACAAGCTACACCTGGGAACGCTGGGCCTCTGGCTTCAAATTCAGGATCAGCAGCACCCTCAACTGGCAGTGCATTCAATCCCACCTCGAACAGCAGTTCCGGGAACCCTGCAGCAAGTAGCTCCGCATCTGGTTCCTCTGTGCCACCCGTCTCATCATCTGCCCCTGCTCCCGTTATTAACCAGATCAGCACTACCTCTTCTTCAGGATTCAGTGCTGGTGTTGGAGGGCAGAACCCCAGCACTGGGGCCAGTTCTGCAGATAGAACGCAAGGGAACGTAGGCTGTGGTGGAGACACTGAGCCTGGGCAGAGCTCCTCTCAGCCCTCTCAGGATGGACAAGAAAGGTATGTTGTTCGCCGACTGAGACGAGTGGCTTTAGCTTGGACTCCTTACTTACTCTTCTGCACGCAGCGGTCCCCCTCAACCTCATGAATCTCTCTGTCTAGTGAAGTGCTCTATTTCTCTTCTTCCCAAAAGGAGGTAACAACTGTCAGTCTGTTGCTTCAGTGTTAAGAAATTTGGGACTTCTTATAAACTTATTAGCTTCGTAGTAAGTTTTACTGATAATTCTATTACTATGTGAACAGAATATATGGATAATAGCACTAGTAAGCCATTACCACTAACATTAATAGTATTATAAAACATCTTTTTAGAATATGGCCCCAGGAAAAAGGGGGGGTGGAAAAAGAGATCTCCCATTTAAAGGAGTATATTATCATTTCCCACCTGTCTTGGTACTAACTGGCTTGGTTTGCTTTCATTTTGGTAATACACATATTGATGTTATATTTAATCTGTAATCATTGTCCAGGGGGTCGGTGTGCTCTGGAACTGGTTTATTTTGTGTGACTTGTATTTATTTTGTGCATCTCATAAGTGGCTCTCTCTGCAGTGTCACAGAACGAGAGAGAATAGGAATTCCCACTGAGCCTGACTCTGCAGACAGCCAGGCCTATCCTCCAGCTGTTGTCATTTACATGGTGGACCCCTTCACTTACACTGCAGACGAAGACTCCACTTCTGGAAACTTTTGGCTGTTGAGTTTGATGCGCTGCTACACAGAGATGCTAGATAATTTACCTGAGCATATGAGAAATTCTTTCATTCTCCAGGTAACTATTTGCAACTTTATTTTTCACTTTTGTTGTTGCTTTTTGTGAAATACAAGTTCATGAATTTTTTTTTAATTGGAAGTACATGAAAGGTATAAAGGAAAAGATATTCATAATTCTACCTTTAGATTAAGTCACCTTTGCATAACATTTTGGTGTGTTTCTAGCCTTTTTTGTGTATGTTTGTTTACAGAGTTGCAATCATACTTTTAGTATAATTTTTATTCTCTAATACTTAACATTATTCATGAATACTTTTCCATGTTGTTTAAAATTCTTACAAGCAGCATTTGTAAGGAGTGCATGTTCTCCATATTTAATTATTACTGTACAGATATTTAATTTGTTTCTAAATTTTGCTATTATAAATAAAGCTGTAATGAATAAACATCTTTATAATCCCTTTTTCACACTTCAGGTCATTCTTAGATATAGTACTGATAAATAATACCAGATTCCTTTCCAGAAAAGTTACGTTTATTTACATTCCCTTTACTGAGCAGTGAGTGTGCGTCTTTCACTACCGCCTTGCCAGCTTTATAGTGTAATAATTTTACAAGATTTTGATAACAGGTGAAGAATGATACCTTGGGTGTTTGGGTTTTGTTTTACTGTCACTTTCACTAAAGCCATCTTACAGAATTAAAACACTGAAATTAAAGTTACCAGAATAGGTTGTTGATTGTTTTTCATCATGAAGTTTGTGTCTCACATCCTTAGACAATAATTCCAAAGTTACCACGCACACTACGTGTGTATATAATAAAAAGGAGAACTACATTAAGAAGCAAGTTTTAACATTTTGGAGCATGGCAACAATGAATTGACACTTTATCCCTAAAAAAGGAACAGGGTGATTTCTAAGTGACTGTAACTTGACCAACAAGTTGACATGTTTTCTTCAGTTGTTGGTGTATCTTTGTAATAGAGGGTTTTATGTCATCTAAGGAATTGAGTTAAATTATGTAAATTATATATATATGTGTGTATTATATTTGATTTAATTTGATTTGAAGCAATCTCTGCATCCCGTGTGGGGCCCGAAATCACAGCCCCGAGATCGAGAGTTGCATGCTCCACTGACTGAGCCAGGCAGGCGCCCCTTACATATTTTAAAACTAAAGCTCCCTGCCCTCTTTCGGCACAGAATTGGTGCCATTTCATTTTCCAAGCGCAGCAGATCTCAGCTTCTAGTTGTGTTTGTGTGTGTAGATCGTGCCTTGCCAGTACATGCTGCAGACAATGAAGGACGAGCAGGTGTTCTACATTCAGTACTTGAAGTCCATGGCGTTTTCCGTGTACTGTCAGTGCCGGCGACCGCTGCCCACACAGATCCACATTAAGTCCCTCACGGGGTTCGGGCCTGCCGCCAGCATCGAGATGACCCTCAAGAACCCAGAGGTAGGTGGTAGCACAGCAGAAACTGCCAGAAGAGTGCTTTTATCCTAGAGAGTTGGCTGCTGGGGTGGCCTTCGGCCTTTGTTAACCTTGGGAGGTTTCTCTGATCCTTAATTTAAAATAGAGGAGGTACTTCTCTAAACTTGTATAATTTTTTGAGAAAAGAGGCAAGCAAACTCTCGGTGTTTTTGGATGTAGGACCTAAGGCAACAATATACTCATCACTTTTACTTACTGATGTTGGACTTTCCTCTGTTTATTTTGTTTTTTTATTTTTTGAAGCTAATCTGCTATTCAGTCACGGACTTTCTTCCTTCCACCCTCTCTTCTCTCCTGGCGCGGCAGCTCTGCCTGTGTTCACTCGGCAGGGGGGCTCCTCATTTTCCGAGGCGCGTTTTTACAGGGCTTGCTTTCTCTTCCCGTATCTCCGTGCTCTGCTTTATGAATGAATGCTTTTTCTCTCCATGTTCTTAAATCTACTTCCCACAAATACGTACCTCTAGAGGAATTTTAAAACACCAAACAAAAGTTGTATATTTTATTTTACTCGTCATTTTATCCTGAAGATAAATGAACAGGACAGTGTTTAGAAGTTTCAAAGCTTTCAGAAATCAGTTCCCACAACTTTCCTTGCATGAAAGTTTACCTGTTAGTAAAAGCCAGCAAACACTTCTTCGCCATATAAAAGAACTTAAAAACACCAAAACCTGCTGATTTTAGTTGGTAATGTAAGTTTTCCTGGGAAACACAATGAAATGCTTCTCTCTTAGATAAATAAAAACTTAGAAGTGGGAAAAAATTAGGCATGTGGTTAATACCACATTTGTTGTCACTTGATCCAGAAGAAATGGCTCAGCCCACAACCCACATTTATTCTGCAGTTATGTACAGTTTCTGTCTTTGGCAGTTCAGGTTGGTTTATTCTTTGGAGTTTTAATTTTTTCACTTTTGTGAACAGTTCATCTATTTTCTCTGTTAGCTTTTTCTAGAATTAAAAAAAAAAATTATTTCTACTTGTTTCTTCTTTTGTCTCCAGAAATTGAGTTATTGCCTTTCTTTATAAATGTAGAACTTTTTAGTTCTTTACCTCTTGTGGTTATTCTGCAGTTCACATGCAGTCATTCCTTATGCGTTGGTAAGAAGTTATCGCAATTTCAAATTATAACTGATAGTGTTCTGCATTTTCATAGAGGGGAGCAAAGGCTGACTACCTGTATTAAGATGTCATGAGGTGGGCGCCTGGGTGTCTCAGTTGGTTGGGTGACTGCCTTCGGCTCAGGTCATGATCCCAGGGTCCTGGGATCGAGTCCCACATTGGGCTCCCGGCTCAGCGGGGAGCCAGCTTCTCCCTCTGACCCTCTCCTCTCTCATGCTGTTTCTCTCTCGCTCGCTCTCTAATAAATAAATAAATAAAATCTTTAAAAAAAAAAAAAGATGTCCTGAGGCATTACCTAAAAGTTTTAAAGTTTATAACATACTGGCAGAACACGGTTAATAGTTCCTGAGATAAATGGATGAATCTAGATGAAAATAAATGGCAAAAATAAGCCTTTTCCCCCCTTTTGCTTTGAAACAGGAAGAGAAAGAAATCATTTGACTTTATTAAAAACAAAATCAAATATTAGGAGTATTTCCTCAGGTTTATACATTTTTACATGTATATGGTAATGGTTAATTGCTAAATGTTGCTGCTCCCCTCAGTCTGCAGCTAGAACAGGGCACTTCATTCAGTAAATGCAGCCCGGTGTCTGCTGTGTGCCAGGCACTAGGGTAGGTGCTGAGGACGCGGTGGGGAGCACGACAGCCAGGCCTCTGCATTCGGGAATTCCGAATCTCTACTGCGGCACAGTCTTATGCAAGCGCATTTTACATAAGAAGGAATGGATTTTAGTATTTACCGTGCAAGTATTAGAAGAAATCCTGTTGGTGGTGTCACTTTTGTTTTTCATAGAATATCCGGTATCTGAAAAGCAGTTTGGGAATAGTATTTGACTTTGTGATTTATCACAGGCTGTCTATTGCATCTAAGATATTTGACATTTAACCTTTTACTTTTTGCTAAACTTTTCAGGCGGTCTCACCTGGACTGTTTTGTTTTGTTTGAAAGCTTTATTGAGGCATAATTCGCATGTTACAACATTCACCCTTTTAAAAATTGCATAGTTCAGTGGTTTTTAGTTTGTTCACAGAATTGTACAACTATCACTGCTGTCTCATTTTAGAACATTTTGCCAACCTGGAAAGAAACGCCATACCTATTAGCAGCCACTCATTTCCCCTCCTCCAGCCCTTGATGGCCACTAGTCTACTTTCTGTCTCTATGGAGTTTCCTGTTTTGGACACTTCCTATAAATAGATCATACAATATGTAATCTTTTATGTCTGGCTTCTTTCATTTAGCATGTTTTCAAGGTCCATTCATGTCATAGCATGTATAGTATTTCTTTTTATGGTTAAATGATACTCCATTGGATGGGTATATGCCACATTTTGTTTACTCATTCTTTAGTGGATGGACATTTGGGTTTTTCCACTTTTTAGCTATTGTGAGTAATACTGTTTTGAACATTTGTGCACAAGTGTTTATGTTTAAAATGGTTTCCGTTCTCTTGGTAAATACCTAGGAGTAGACTTTCCAGGTATAGGGAAAATGAATGGGTCGATGATAAGGTTAGCTTTGAAACTTCGAACACATTATTGAATATCTCTAGCCCTGTATTTTGTATCCCTAAAATGAAGGAATTGGATTAGACTCTTTCTCAGGTCTTTATTTTAGCTTTAAAATTCTGTAATTTCGTTATTACTATTTTTATGCCATAAATCAATGTATGCTACGTGTACGTTTGTATGTATGAATATGTATTCATTCAGGGATCAGCAACTATGTGGGCTCAATCCAGCCTGCTACAGCCTGTGTTGGTATGACCTGGATAAGAATGATTATTACATTTTTAAAAAGAGAAGAATACTCAGAAGAAGAAAGACCCATAAAGCCTAAAATATTTACTGTCTGTCCTTTATGGAAGTGTGCTGACCCCTGCTGTAGGCGATTAAATATTGAAATGTGTATAATAGCTGTGTAAAAAAAAAGGGTGACAACTAAACTTTGTCACAGTTGGTTTAAAATATTTGTCTTAACTGGTAACAGCTAATGCTTTGATTTCTTAAATCACACACACACACACACTAAAGTATAAATACATACTGAAAAGTACCCAGTCATAAGTATACCACTTGATGAATTTTCACTAAACACATCATGTAACAAGCACAAGAAACAAAACCTAAGAAGCACCGAGAAACATCTTTCATGTCCCTTCTAGTCATTCTATCGGTAATCAGTGTTCTGACTTAACAGAAACATATCTTGCCTGTTTTTGACTTTCATGTAAATTGAGTCATATAATTGGTATTTTCTGTGTCTGGCTTCTTTCCTCCAGTGTCTAGATTCATCTGTTCTGTTGCAGGTAGTGGTAGTTTTGCATGTCTTCGCTGTTTAATATTCTGATTGTATAACTATAACACAGTTTATCTTCCATTTTACTGGTGATGGGCATTTAGGTTATTTTTTAATTGGAGCTGTTAGGATTAAAACTGTTGTGAACAGTCTTACACCTGCCCTTTGGTAAACATACATGTCCATTGGATTGGGTCACAGGGTATGTATATGTTTGGCTTTAGCAGAGACTGTCACTTTCCCAAAGAGATTGCATCACCAACAGTGCATGAAAGTTCTAGTTGCTCCACATTCTCACTGATACTTGGTGTTTTCTTTTTTATTTGACATTCTGGTGGGTATGTAGTAGTATCTCATTGTGGTTTTTAATTTCTGCTTTCCTGATGACTAATGAAGTGGGGCCAGTTTACTTTCTAAAATAGTAATTTCCTTTTAATAAGGAAACACTGGCTTGATTGGGGTTCCCTAGCTGATGTCACTTAAACACTTTTTGTTTTCTGTCTTATCACTTACTATTTATGTATGTAATACTTCTGGGGGGCAGTCTGTTGTCATTACTCCCTATTGGTTTCAAGTGCTAATTGGGGTTTTGTTGTAAACATTGAGTTGGGTGGCTTTGTGTTGATACTGACTTTTATTTTGATTTCAGCGACCCAGCCCAATCCAGCTTTATTCCCCTCCTTTTATATTGGCCCCAATCAAAGACAAGCAGACGGAGCTGGGAGAGACATTTGGGGAGGCGAGCCAGAAATACAACGTGCTCTTTGTGGGCTACTGTCTGTCTCATGACCAGCGCTGGCTTTTGGCTTCCTGCACTGACCTCCATGGGGAATTATTAGAAACTTGTATTGTAAATATTGCTTTACCAAACAGGTGAGGAGCCTTGGTGTTTATGCTGCATATAAATTGATGCTGTGCCTTTCCTCAGATATGAGTCATTCTGATTTTCCTGTCTAAATGCAGTGGGTGCTGTGTGGGTGGGCTTTTTGGAATTTTCTGGGTTTTGTCTTGCTAAGTGGTAACTTTGATTCATTTGGGGACCCCTTGCTCACGTCTTTCTTTTTTAGATCACGGAGGAGTAAAGTATCTGCACGTAAAATTGGACTACAGAAGTTATGGGAGTGGTGCATCGGTATTGTCCAAATGACATCTCTACCCTGGAGAGTTGTAATCGGCCGACTTGGGCGGCTTGGCCATGGGGAGCTTAAAGGTGAGAGATTCCTGAAGCAATCAGTACAGGAAACAAAGGAAAAGGGTTAAGCTAATGTCCCTAACTGAGCTGAGGGAGAAAATTATAAAGTTAGTAGTAAGAATAAAGCAGATTTATATTTTCTGATTCTTTTAAATGTAGTTTTAAGTGCAGTTTTTAAACTTCTCATTATCAACAAAACTGTTTACCAAAGAAAATCTTAAATACTGAACCTCAATATATAAGACAGGAAAAAGAATGTTTTATTAATATAAAAGTGATAGTAAATTAGAACTTCTAACGTTTATTTATGTACTGAGTCAGTGAGATCAAGTCAGTTTTAACACGAAAATTTAAATGAGAGATTATGGATGATAGTAGAAGTCATATATAAGAATAGACTTCTGTTTCTTTATTTTTGGTGATTGATGTCTTGATGTAGTTTGTATTTATTTTGTGTTGGTGGCACAAGGGCAAGATAATCCTAATTTATAAGGACAAGTAGTTGTAAGTTGGAATGGTCTTTATTCACATTGCCACTGTCTGATAGACTTCAGTCTGGACTCTTAAGAGAGCAGACTTTTTAAGTTGAATCCCCAAATCTACCTACCAACTGCTAATATTTCCCGTCATAAATATAACAGTCACAAAGCACTAAAAGTAACGAACAGCACAGCTGACCACTGGCAGCGGTGTTGCCTGGCTTTACACCAAACTCGTTTGCTATCTTACTATAGCCACTTTACATGAGCAGTGTGAATAGTTCTAGATTGCTTTTTTAAAGCCTTACTAATCAATGACACGTTTATAAAAAGTTCAGTATGTACGCATAGATGGGAGGGTTTTGTTTTGTTTTGTTTTTTGTTTTTTGTTTTTTTTCCCTAAGGTCTCCACAAAAGCAAAGCATATGTCACAGATTAGCTTGGTGGTTTTGTGCATTCAAGTGTATTAGAGCAGAGTCAGCAAACTTTCTATGTAAAGGGCCAGGTAATATTTTCAACTCTGCAGGCCAGCGTGTCACTGTTGCAGCCTCTCAACTCTGCCATTGTAAAGTCAAAGCAGCCACAGACAACACCTAAGTGAATGCATTTGGCTCTGTTCCAATAAAACTTTATTTACAGACACAAGTGGTGAGCAGGATTTGGCCTGCAGACCATAGTTTGCGGAACCGTTGCATTAGAGTGCATGTATTGTTTCTTTGCATGAAATTTGTATCAGGTATTCGTGGAACCTCTGAAATAAAACCCCTGAAATAAAACCCCTGATACAGATACAGCCTACATTGTAGCAAGTGCTCGAGTAAGTTAACATATATTATGTTACATAAGTATTAAATACAGGTGTTTGCTTAGGAATCTACTGTGTGCAAAAATTTTTTTTACTAATTAAATAAAAAATATTACCCTTTTCATTTATAAGTATGATATTCTTTAAAAATGAATCTTGTATTGGTAGCCTGGAGGCCTGATGCATTGGGGGATTCATCATTTCATTTATGTCAGAATCCCTATCCCATCTCTTGGTATGCCTTATAGTCACTCTTATCTCTTTAAGGGTTTGAGCTGCTTTTAACCCTTGGGAAAAGTTAGAATATAATAGAAAAGAAGAAGAGAGGATAAAAATGTAGCCTACTTGGTGTTTCGGACAATAATTAAGGCCATTGCCTTCCCATGTGTGTGTGTGTGTGTGTGAGAGAGAGAGAGAGAGAGAGAGAGAGCAGGGGCACACTCTTCTTATCTCTTAGGTGAAAGGAATAGAAGTGTGACTGATCCCATCAAAAGGTTGAGAGACAATGTACTTTCAAGGGACAGAGACACCGAGAAGAGCCTAGTGTACAGGAAATCAGTTTACCGATCATTTCTTTCCTTTGGGGACCTGAGGTCTGCGCCACATTGCATTTCTGTGGAATGGTATCACATGTGAGCCTGCAGATTTCAGAGTCGACTGTGTGAATTTTTGTTTTTTATTATCAGAGTATTTGTGATAAAATACAGATACTTCTTTTCCTTTCTTAGATGGTTTTAAATACAAAACTCATGCCTGTTTGATTTTTCTGTGGCTTTTTAAAATACATTCTTCATGTCTTTTATTTCACTTTTATTTCAGCCATTTCAGTTTAAGGTTCTTTAGGAACATGAGATAAGAAACATTTGTTCCTTTCACCTCTTTAAGGGGAGAACAGCGTGTTTGAAAAAACTATGTGAAGGTGGAAACGTGTGGTGGAGTGGCCTTGCCTCAGTGGGACGGTGGGGCGGGACACGGGTAGTGCATGCTGCTGCAGGAGCATGGCGTGTTCGTGTGTGTTGGAGGTCAAAGAGAAGACTAAGTCCTTTTCCATTGCCAGAGTAACGTAACCCTCTACTGTTCTCTGAGTACACATAGTGCCTTTATGTGGAGGCAGTAAACAAATATCAGAAAATTTGTGCCAGCGTTTTAATCTGGAACAATTAGTGTGACATCATTTGGAGCATTTCATTCACACCCATTGTTTATCAGCTCTCTTGGGCCTTCTGAGAAGGGTTCCCCTTATTTCTGCACTGCCTTTCCTGGAAACAACCAACCTACAACAGTAAACAGAACTGAGGTTTGCCTCCAACTGTGCATTCTTCTAAAGAAAAGTGCTGATGGGGGTGGGGGGTGGAGGGGCAGTGAATGAACCATACCTGGAGAAAGAGGAGGAGAAGAAAGGATAGAACAGATTGGCCTCATCATCAAAAAAGCATCTGAAGCGCCTGAATCTATGTGGGTCTGTGCTGGACTCTCCCAGCTCATTTCAGACATGATTTCAGTTGACAGAATAGTAGGCCTTTGTTCCTTTGTTAATGAAGTGTAAGAGAGGTCAAGTAACATTTTCTTTGTAGCAAGAAAGGGAACCTGTGTAAAGCCTTATTCCCTTTAGGGTCAATCCTGGAAATTCACTTACCAGGCAAACCTGGTAAAACGCTTAAACCTCCTATCAGTATGAATTTCTAAAGACTGTGTATGACTGTGATATTTGATTTCAGATTGGAGTATCCTCCTTGGAGAATGTTCACTACAGACAATCAGCAAACGGCTCAAGGACGTGTGCCGCATGTGTGGAATCTCTGCCGCAGACTCTCCTTCAATCCTTAGTGCCTGCCTGGTTGCCATGGAGCCCCAGGGGTCCTTCGTAGTGATGCCAGGTAAGTCTCTTCTTGTCAGTTTCATTAATGAGCTGTCACATCAGTTCAGCTCACTCAAACTTAAGTCTACAGACAAGTGTAGAATAGCTCTTCATTACCTTTGTGAGAGAAGATTGTACTTAGGGTTCAAAAATGGAAATTTGGTCTCTTCCAAGGGGAGGGGTTTGTGATTTTGTTATCTTTGTTGACCATCATTTGGAAGAGAGCCTAAGACGGAGAGCTCTTAGAGTCATGGCCAGTTACTGTGACCCCAATTGTTGTTAGTGTATGAGGATCACCCTCCAGAACCCCCTAAAGGGGACACTACTGTTGTGATACATATTTGAATATCCTTTTGAAGACAGATATTTGACAATCTCTAAGCAGCCTCGAGAGGATATTTGAGTCTTTCTGATGTGGTTGAGGATGAATGGTGAGACAAATAGAGAGGTAAAGTAGTTAGTGCAGTATCTGGCCCGGAGTAAGTGCTCAGTAAATGGGAGTGCTAGTGTGTGGATAGCCAAAAGATTGTGGCCACAGAATTCTTAAAAAATTAGCAACTAAGCTATTTTGTAATTTTATAACTAAGCAATTTTCTTTTTTCTTTTTTTTTCTCTCTTAACAGCTTTATTGAAATATAATTTACATGTCTTACAATTCATCAATGTAAATGTACAGCTCAATTATTTTTAGTAAATTTATATAGTTGTACAGCTATCACCACAGTCCATTTTTTAAAAATTTTTTTATTGTTATGTTAATCACCACACATTAATTACATCATTAGTTTTAGATGTAGTGTTCCATGATTCATTGTTTGTGCAAAACACCCAGTGCTCCATGCAGAACGTGCCCTCCTCAATACCCACCACCAGGCCAACCCATCCTCCCACCCCCCTCCCCTCTAGAACCCTCAGTTTGTTTTTCAGAGTCCATTGTCTCTAATGGTTCGTCTCCCCCTCCGATTTCCCCCCTTCATTCTTTCCCTCCTGCTAGCTTCTTTTTTTTTTTTTTTCTTAACATGTATTGCATTATTTGTTTCAGAGGTACAGATCTGAGATTCAACAGTCTTGCAAAATTCACAGCAATAACTAAGCAATTTTCTAATTTTCTACCTTTTTTAGCCTGCTTTTATCCTTCAGGTATGTCTCTGACCAAATGGGACATCCTGTCCACTTACTCCCTATAAAAATCAGTAGTGATGCGTGAGAATGAGCTTATTCATCATCAGTCCAGTGAGAAGCAGATGTCCTGTGTTGGCCTCTAATATTAGACCCTAGGTTAATTGTTGCCTGCACCATTTGGACATATTTCAAAACTTCTTTGTTATCTGTCCTCTTCATGGTATGGGGATAATAGTTGTACCTCGAGGTAGCTGTAGATGACTGAATAAGATGATGTCAGTGAATACAGAGTTTAGCACAGAATCTGGCATGTAGTAAGCACTCAATAAATGCTAGTTATAGTATTAGTTGAATGATACCATTTCTACAGAATTGTATCATTTAGAATAGTCCTTTATAAATTGTGAGCAACCACAGGAAGAAAGTGGGAGATTTATTTTTAGAAATGCTTCTTATATAAGTAATTAAAACATATTTGGTGGGCACAGTCTAGTTTTATCTTAACCTTTCCCATATGACATGAGGCCTGGGTTTTCATAGCTGTATGCTCTGAGTCTTGTTTTTTTTTTTTTTTTTTTTTTAAAGATTTTATTTATTTATTCATGAGAGACAGAGAGAGAGAGAGAAGCAGAGGAAGGAGCAGGGAGCCCGATGCGGGACTCGATCCCAGGACCCTGGGATCACGACCTGAGCCGAAGGCAGACGCTTAACCGTCTGAGCCACCCAGGTGCCCCTGAGTCTTGTTTTTTTGAAGATAAACACAGGTGGAGCTTTAAATGTGTATCCAGTTGTGTCACACTCTTGTCTCTCTAGCTCAGGTCCTCCTAAAACTTCATTTCGGGAGTTGGTTACTGATGCACAGAAGGGAACTGATACAGTTCTTTCTTTTTCTTTCTTTTTTTTTTTTAAAGATGCCGTCACAATGGGTTCTGTTTTTGGCCGAAGTACCGCTCTGAACATGCAGTCATCTCAGCTGAACACCCCTCAAGATGCTTCCTGTACACACATCTTGGTGTTCCCAACATCGTCAACCATCCAGGTGGCTCCAGCCAACTATCCCAATGAAGATGGGTTTAGCCCCAACAATGGTGAGTGTGGAAGGCCATGTAAGGATAGAGCTCAAATTCTCTAGCAAGACGCAGAGCTGAAGTATTGGAGTCAGTGGGCTGCTGCATGTGTTACAATAAACAACATATAAAATATGAAGAGGGGATTGAAGGTTGGAGAATCTGTTTGGTTTTGAAGGTTCATGGACCCTGTTACCAAGACCAAATAAGTATTTTCCTCTCTTGTGTAATTAATTTTCTACTGTTTTTCTCCAAAGGCAAAAAAATACCTGGTTGGTAGTGTCCAGCACATGGGGGCTGCTCTTTCAGTAAACAGTTGCTGATCTGATTTGAAACGTATGCAGATTCCCAGGCAGTGTGAAGTAGCTCCTGTCTTTAGCTGATCATTGGGAATCTAATTTGCTTTAAAACAACTCCTTATTTGATTATTCTTAATAAATTTTTTTGGTTTGGTTATCTCTTAAGGCATTTGTTAAGTAAAGTAGTGATGACTTGCAAACTAAAATGCCCAGTATTATGTAGCCATTTGCATTGTTTTTTGAAGATTTTTTTAATAGCTACCCGCATTTACTCCTGTTAGAGGGGGAGGGTAAAAGGATACTAAATTTTATAGATAGTGTGATCATAATGGAGTAACGATATGAGAAAAAGAATTGTAGCAAAAACGTTCACAGTACTTGTATTCTGGGTGATAGTGTTCCCTTTTTATACTTTTCTTTCCAAATTTTCTGCTGTGTGTGTACCTTACTTTTATAATGTGGGAGAAGATTTCTTAATGAAAACATGCTTTGATCTGCTTTTGGAATAGGCCTCCAGTTTCAGGGCAAGTTCACACCTATTAACATGTATTAATTCAGCCTCCAGGATTTTAGATGCTAATTGGATGCATAGATGGAGTCTGCTGTTTTCTAGGATGGTGTCAGTTTTAACTTTGTTTAATAATTAAGTTGCTTCTTTAGCTGTTTCACCATCTTTTTATGTGCCTTCGGAAGCTATACAGAGTGTGGAGTTCTGTTTTATGTTCTTTATTTCTCCAGTCTGTTAATACTTCACATTAGAAGATCACTGAAGAGAATACAAAATGCAAAAATAATTTTCAGCGCCTTGCACCAGTAGACACACGTTAATAAATCTTACTAAGTTGTTAACAGCATGTGCTTGTAACAGTCATGGGCCAACAAAACAGAATATTGTTTAAGTTGTGGATATGGATTATTTTTTAAATTTTTGTGCTTTTTCTCCCTTCTTTCTAGATGACATGTTTGTTGACCTTCCATTCCCAGATGATATGGACAATGACATTGGCATATTAATGACTGGGAACCTCCATTCCTCTCCCAACTCCTCCCCAGTTCCTTCCCCAGGCTCTCCTTCTGGAATTGGTGTGGGCTCTCACTTCCAGCACAGTCGGGTAAGGATGATTTCAAGTATGTTGTTAAAACAACCTTGGCCTTCAGGGAAAATAATCCTCTGGAAGGGTGATTGCCTCTTTACTTCATGCACTGTTCTTCTTGATGGTCTTGGTCCCTGGTACAAGAGACATCAGTGTGGAAAGGTGACTCTGTAGTTGTTCTGTTTTGATTGAAGGCACGAATTAGAAAGAAATGGATTATTATTCCTGAAAATGTTCCTGATGAATATGTTTTATCAGAAGAATAGTCCTATTGTAGCAGGAGGGCTTTTTTGCAATGATTGTTTTCTCTGCAAAATTTATTTTTGGTTGCTTGCTGCTTCCCAGTTATTTATTTTTTATTTTATTTTTTTGCCAAAATAGTGGCTTTTCAGAGGCTAGTTCGACAGCCCTACTTACTTAACATGTCTTAATTGAAGAACACATTGTTGATGGTTGATTATTCTGAAATGAGCTTTACTCTTCTTGTTTCATGTCATGGTGCCTTGATTTATATATAGTTCCAGTCTTCTCTGTAGCCAGGTTTTGAAATGGCAAGGGCCCACAAAAGGTTGATTTTGGAGAAGTGTCCAGGTTGATGCCCCAGTATTAAGGTGAAACATCAGAGCTGACAACTAGTTTCATCTTTAAATATCCCAAGGATATTGGAGGTGGATTAACAGGATCGAAGAGTTAAAGGTTCTGCTGTAGCCTCTGTTAATTTTGTTTAAAAGCTGGATGATTCATGCCTTATCACTCTTTTGTACCTTTTATTTAAAATATTGCAAGATTGAGGTTTAAGACATAGAAAAATGGCTCCGTCTACTATGTTAAACTGGGCAAGCATAAACAACTCTGCTCACCCTCATTTAAAGACAGAGCTGTAGTAAGAGGACTTAGGTTTCTGTCCTCGGGACTCTCGTTGCCAGCCTGGAGTTCATTGAGGGCCAGGCAAGAGAAGGAAGATTTAAAATGTTAGTCACAGAGCAGATAAAACCAGGGAAGAGCGACTCAGTAGACTTACCCTCATGTAACTGCCTGTCCCCCAGTCCTCCTTTCTAGAAGGAAGAGCTCGTTAAGTGTCTTTATTTCCTCCATAATCATTTGCCAGTTAATGACAGTTTATTGCTTCTTTGGAGATTGTTGTGATAGGAACCAAGATCACAGATTTTACGTTAGGTAGTTTTAATTTTGGATTAAAGTGAATTCTAGAGGCAAATAGCATAGCAATTAAGAATGCATGCCCTGGAGTTTGATAGATGTAGCTCAGCGTTAACAGCTGCACGGCTTCTAGCTTGGTGACCTTGACCAAGCTTGCTTGATCTTTCTCAGCCTCATTTACCTTATCTGTGAAATGGAAATAATAGCAACCACCTTTCAGTGCCCATGGTTGCACTTTAGCTTATCCAGGAACAAAGAATTGGTCTTTGAAGTGTCATGTGAGTTTTGTAAGAAACAGAGCTTTGCTGTACTTTCCGCCTTTGTCAGAGCCGCAAGCCCTGAAGTCTGAGATTGAATGTCAGAGTTTAAACAGCACTGTTCTGAAGCTGGTCAGGTGGCCCTTTTCCATCCTGAGCACCTGCAACCAGGTGACCCCTGAGAGGCTTTCAGTAGTTCCTCTTTCTGAAGCATTAAAGATTCTTTGATATCCAGTTAAGGCATTACAGCAGGGCAAAGAACTTGTTCAGGGTGGCAGTAGGTTTTTATTTTTTAACCAACTCAGAATTAATACAACTTGATGTGATAGTTGAGGATTAATTTTTTCCTCCAAACAGAAGGCCTTTGAAAACAAATGATGACTTCTTATTGCTTGCATAAAAGGTGCATTTGCAGCTCTTGGAGCTAGCTAAAAGAACCAGAGATGAGAAAAGTTTCAGTTGCCAAACACACAGTAAGGCTCGCACAGGGATCTCTTATTAAGGAGTTTGCTGAAAATTAAAACAAGGCCCCTTCATGAGCAGCTCTTACACTGCTGGGAGGTCAGGGACACTGTTGTCACACAAAGGAGTGGTGCAGTATTACGTTTTCCTAACATCCGTGTTGTTGACAGTAGACGGTTAGGTGCGCTCGTGTATTTTGGTTGATGGCTGGTGAAAGAGCACCTAGGTGTGGGGGTGCCTTCAGCTGCCAGAGGCCATTCTTTCCACCTTTAGTTTGACGCCTAATGCCTCGGAACACGTCTTACATTTAACAGGAAAAACCCAGAGCAAAAAAATCTGTATTGGCTTGACGGATGATGTTAGTTTTGCTGGTACCTTCTGCCCGGGCCGTATTTCTCATCAAATGTCTGTGCATGCAGCAAAGACCGGGCCTCCCCCTGTTGACTTTTCTCAGTCACCTGGCGTTTTTGTGCGAAAAGCTGCCAGAAGGGGGTCCACAGTGTGCAGAGTGACTTGGTAAAAAGTTGATGTGCAAAGCTGTATTTGAAGTGATAAACGCTGATCATGCTCTTGGAATTTTGTTTTTCAGAGTCAGGGTGAGCGTCTTCTCTCTAGAGAGGCACCTGAGGAGCTGAAGCAGCAGCCTCTGGCCCTCGGGTATTTTGTGTCAACTGCCAAAGCGGAGAATCTCCCCCAGTGGTTTTGGTCATCGTGTCCCCAAGCTCAGAATCAGTGCCCCCTCTTCCTAAAGGTTGGTTTGGTGTCATGTTTGAAGTTTGGGGGAGGAGGGACTTATGCTTAAATTCAGGTGTGGTTAGAAACTTGTGTCTCAGTCACCATGTCTTACTGTTTTCCCTGTTTCTTTCACATCTTCTTATACTCTGAGGGTATTTTAATTATAGTTGGGGTGGGGGGAGTAGAATGCAGGAGAGGAACCCAAAACTGACACAAAGGAAGCAGTCAAGCACATTAACCCAAGGTGGAGACTTTGTGGGGCCCACAGGCCACGTGTCGGGTGGACCTGTCGTTGTGTGTCAGTCCACGCTGCATTGCCATCGGTGAAGGTAAGCTGGGGCGCAGGTGATCGGAATTGGCTGATCTCTTCCTCCCCTGCCATAGGCTCCAGCTTTCTTCGTTAGAGTAGGGCAGAAGGCAGCTGAATTTACATTGACACGTGCTCCTTCCTGGGTAGGTCTTGGAACCCTTTCATCCAACTTAAGGGTTAAAACAAAAGATCTCCCACTTCCAGTTTGGATGAGAGAACCAGGAATGAAATCCATGTCTCACCCACAGATTGGCGAGAAGCCAGAAGTTTGACAACATGCTCTGTTGGCAGGGTTGTGGGGAGAGGGCCCTGGCGCCAGTAGGAGGGCCAGGTGACGCAACCCCACACGCTTCCCTTTAGGTGCAGCAATTCCACCTCTGGAAGTCTGTTCAGAAGAAGCTGGCAACACCAGAAAATGAAAAGTGTAAAAGATTGGAAACACGCAAACTGTCCACCAGTAAGGGACTGGTTGAATAAACTAGTACGTCCGTTCAGTGGAGTGTTAGTTATCCACAACAAAGTCAGGATGGTTGTCATATAATCGTTCTGTGGAGTGTAGATTACCTTGTAGTAATTGTGATAAGATGCGTGCATGCACACACCTGCTTGTGTTTTCAGAAAGCAACAATGGGAGCCATTTTCTTTAATGGCTATGACATATTATGATGAAACCAGGAAGTTATATAAAAATCCATGTCATCTTTATTTCAAGTTAGACTTGTCAGGATGAACCCAGATTTATTTTTCCCTCTTAAGAAAGGTATACACGTTTTTTAGTTCAGTCTACTGAAAAAGCTTAGACAGCTTAGTATCCATGGACAGCTCTCTTGCTACAGTTGTGGTTCTGAAATACCATTTATCGTTTGAAAGAACCAGAGTTCCTTTGAGGAAATGACGGATTGTAGGTCTGAAGTAAGAGATACTCAAGATGAACCGGTGATACGTTGTCACACCGGAAAGCAAGGAAGTTGCGTGAGATAATTGAGTTACTTCAGAGGACCCAGGAGCCTACTGGGGGGTTCCCATTGCCCAGTGAAGAGACAGTTTGAACATAAAAAAGAACAGTGGTAGCAGGAGACTAAAACAAATACAGGGGTTCATAATTGTGCTGAAAACCAGAACATTTTCTCAGTCGCCTCTTGAAGCTACTAGAGCAACAGTTCATTAATCTGAAAACTGAAAAATAGAGAAGCATATATATTAACTCTCCTTCACATACTGTATTTCTCAGTTATTGAATAAAGTAAACTATGCTAAAGCCATTAGGTGAAAACTTGGTGGGGAACGTTATAATGAGTGGAGCGTGCTGGTTAACTCTTAGATGCAGTGGGGCAGCGGACGTTAGCTGCCTTCTAAAGATTTTTTTTTTTTAATTGAGAGAGAGAATGAGAGAGAGCAAGCACATGAGAGGGAGGAGGGTCAGAGGGAGAAGCAGACTCCCCGCCGAGCAGGGAGCCCGATGCGGGACTCGATCCAGGGACTCCAGGATCATGACCTGAGCCGAAGGCAGTCGCTTAACCAACTGAGCCACCCAGGCGCCCCGTTAGCTGCCTTCTAATGTGGTGCAGTGAGAAGGACATAGCGCCAGTTATGAAGTGTTCTTTCCCCCTGTTTGCCTCCCTCCCCAGGAGGAATCCGAACCTAATTGAGCCTCTAGATCTAGCAGCTTATGGGAAGTCAGGGTCGAAGAGCAGGTTAAACCACCACCACAAGGGGACAGTCAGCCGTATCCAGACCCTGGGGCCTTCTAGAGATCAAGACCTGAAGAGGCACGTTATCGAATCATTTGCAGTGCATTTGTATTTGCTGCAAAGCTAGCTTTTTTCCAACTCTAGGATATGGAGTTATTTGGGATCACACTGGGGTTACTGTGAGCCTAAAATTCAGGCTTCTAGAAGCTGTGACTTCCTCTAAGGACTCCAAGGGGCATCTGCAGCAGACGTGGGTCTGCCTTTTTTCCTGCCCAGGAAGGTAACTGTCTTTGTTCTTTTGCCAGGCTTCGCTGCATCACCACATTTCTGTAGCACAGACGGACGAACTTCTCCCTGCCAGGAATTCTCAACGGGTTCCACATCCTCTTGACTCCAAAACCACATCTGATGTTTTAAGGTAGATACAAACGTAGGCAACATAGCTGTACAGTTTGAAATAATCTTCCTTCAGTCTTGTCTTTCCAAGGTGTTTAATTAAAATGTGGAAGGGGTGCTACTTTTTGGGCAGGGGAGCACTGTCTGATCAGCTAGTGAGAGCGACAGTCCCCCGTGTGAGCACCGGACAGAGAGGGTAGTCTACTTGGTTAAATTAGATATGTGCGAGTACAGTTGCCCTTGCTTCCTATTTAAAGGAGGCATTTTATGGTGATGAAAATCTATCAGAATTACGGGGCAGGTGGTTAGAAGACAGAGCCTGGAACCTAAAGCACTTGGCTTTGAAAGCATCTCTTTTACTCCCCCTGATGTAGATTATATAAATAAAATTAACCAGAACATAAATTCCGTAGTTGGGAAATCTCTCCGAGAAGTGTGCACTAATTCTTTTGCACTTTAGCAGGCCATAAACATTCTTCATGTACCTTGAGGAAGTAGGCAAGCTTTTTCTAATGTTTGGTAGCTCTTAAATTACAGTTAGGCAAGAACCCAATCAACATGATTTTGGCTTTCAGGGTCTCTAGTGCAGCACTGTCCAAGAGAAATATAATGGGAGCCACATACCTAATTAAATTTTTTTAGTAGCAATATTAAAATAGTAAAATAAGTTGGTGAAGTTAATTTTAATAATAAGTATCAGTTGTATCAAAAATATATCAGAATAATATCAAGTAAATGAAAAACAGTATCATTTCAGTAGTTAATATAAAAATATCCGTGCGCTGTTTCACATGCTTTTTTTTTTTACTATGAATTCCTTGAAACCCGGTGCCTGTTTCCTACAGACAGCACATGGGACTCCACTTGCGGCGGCCAGGAGTGCGGGGCTAGGTGAAGCGGGTGCACGGGGAAAAGTACCGCAGGGAGACGTGGGACAAGGGCAAGAATGATCAGCACCACCCCCGCCCCGCCCCCCACCGGCATCTGGAACGTTCAGACGTAGAGTCAGCCTCCCCTGTGCCTCGCCTTGTGCCCCTGACCTGTGCCTTCTCTCCGGCAGGTTTGTTTTGGAGCAGTACAACGCCCTGTCCTGGCTCACGTGCAGTCCGGCCACCCAGGACCGCACCTCCTGCCTTCCCGTCCACTTTGTGGTGCTCACCCAGCTGTACAATGCCATCATGAATATACTTTAATTGGAAAAGCACTTGTTCTCTCTGGCTCAGTTCCGCCTCCCTGCAACCTCAGCCCAAGAAACCTGCTACACTCTGCAAATGCCCCACGTCCTCTTCTTGAGACCACTCTCCACAGTCCTGCACTGTGATTACTCCTCAGCAGGCACATGTCATTTCTGCAGTGTTCAGTACCAGAGGGATTCACTGACACTTCTCTCATGGACCTGGAAACTTCCAATAAGCAGTGACTTTTAGCCAGTGTTACGGTGTGTGCAGCCCCAAACCACTGGTCCACAGGAAGTTTTTTATTGTTGGTTTTTAAGAGGGAAACAGAAGAGACGGTATCCTTTTGCACAAGAGTCTGTGTTTCCAGTCTCTGTTTAGAAACAAGGGCAGTTTAGCCCGTTTGGATGAAATCCTCTAGTTATTGGTGTATGGCCTGTGGGTTACCCGAACTCCATAATCTGGGACTTTTTAAAAATAAGAACCAGCTCAAGTATATGACTTCATAACGGGCTTTCTGTCTCCCTAGTGCTCCCATCTAGATTGGCATGAATGCTTTGGTTGACTTCATACCTGTGTGTAGATACAAAAGGTCTGGAGACATCTTCATTTTGTTTATTTATTTTAAGTTGTTTTGTCATGTGTTTTTGTGACTTTCTTTTGATTTTTTTTTTTAATTCGTGAGGACCAGGTACAGTAGCTGAAACCCAACTCAGATCCACCATAGGATTCTTTGACTACATACCTCTGTCCTAGAAGCTGGAAAAGGAGTGAAAACAGATTGGGGAGATATGCCTAAAAAGTAATATATTCAAAACCACCCAGCAGTAGGCTTTATTATTAAGAACAAACTGGGTAAACATTCTGCCATGTTTCTTATTAAAAGTGGCCAGCGTTTCATGAAGGATAACATTTTTATACAGAAGGCAGGCAGTCAAGCTCAACCCAGAGCCATGGAGGCAAGTACCTTCATTAGTTTTATATAGTCACAACGGAAATATATTTTCTAGTGAATTCTTATTGAAAGCCAGGTCTCTCCTCTCATTAGATCAAAAGGGACTCATGTACATATCATAATTGAAAGTGTTTGCTCATAAAATCAGTTATAAATATGGTGACTTTTTTCTGGACCATAGGAATATTATTTCAAAGAAATATTACAACTTAACCATTAAATTAGTACTTGAAGTTGAGCCTTTGTGGTGGGACTTTTTAAAAAAAAAATAATAATGCCTTTTTAAAGCATTAATGGCTAATTGAAGTATTTTATGACTCCTCATTCCAGGCCCAAGAGGGTTGTCTTTAAGACCCCGTTTCTGACCCTGACGTCACAGCACGTTTCTGCACGTTTCTGTCTTGAGGGCAGTGGGCGTGGGCTTGCCTCCCGCAAGCCACTTTGGTCAGGCTGTTGAGCTCTAGTCATCTGTGGAGAGAATCATGCAAATTTTAAAGTTCTTCCAAGAGACTTCCATATCCTGGTTATTAACAAAAAAACAAAAAAAAAACAAAAAAAAAAAGGAAAAATGTAATAACTGATATGATTTTGTAAAAGTATTTTTCTTGAAATAATCTAACGTTTAAAACATTATATTAAAAAAAAAGTTGTGTGGTGGGAATATGTAAGCAGAGAAATAACTTGTAAATGGATAATTTTATTCTCTGTACCACCAATTGAGGGGGGGGGTGACTTTCGCAATGTATAGGTTAAAAAAAAAAATCTGATATATCAAACCATTTGTATCTAATGTGTACAGTGTAAAATTGACTTTAAAAATATTGCAGTGCTATTTTTTCTTAATCAGAAAGGAAAAATTCTCAAGGCCTTTTGAAGAGCATAAGATGATGAAGATTGTAAACTTGTATAAAATTATCTTGGTGAGAAGACAAATTGTAAAGTAGATATTTGTAATCTTTTACCACTTTGGGGTTGCTTTTTTTCCCAGAATTCATCAGAACTTTGAATTTTTTTTTTTTTTTTTAATATGGGCTGTTTTTAATGCAGGGGCTTTTCTTCCCTAGAAACCCAATTCTAAGCAAAAAAAGAAAAAAAACACAAAAAATAAAAAACCCCTACAAAAATTAAAAAAAAAAAAGGCAGCAAAGGGTAGTTTTCATCTGGTGTCTTTTATTTAAGTTTTTTAAGTTAAGAAAAGCTGGTGACATATTTATACGTTTTTGTGCAAAAATAAATGAATGGCAATAGATTTTAAAAAATCTTATTATGTACTTCTGTGTGAAAAAGTCTGTATAATATTTCCCTTAAATATGCATTATTTTACTTGTGAGTTTTTTACTGAATTAATCTGAAATGTACAAGCCCTGGATTTGCTACAGAGTGAGAAGTTATTTTATTTTTTTTTTTATTTTTAATTTTGGAAATTCTGCAAAAATCAGAACTCTTACCATGGTTTGAACTAAAAAGGGGAAACGGGGAGGGGAGAGGGGTGGGATTGTCCAGCATGCTTGTATGTATATTTCAGAACCTTTTTTAAATGTAAAAGCTGTACATTTCTGGGAAGTTCTGAATTTCTTTTGTTTCCTTTTTTCCTTCAAGCATTTTGCAGTGAGCTTCTTTTATATATAGCAAACAATTTGAAAGAATACAAAAATATGTGAAGTTCATTTAAAACTACAGTATAGCGCTGGTACAGTACACTAAAGACTTTGATAAAAAGAAACAATACTAAAAGGCCTCCATTTTAAATGTCATTCATATATACCTTGTGAATGAGAGCTATATACTTTTACACACTTTTTTAGAGGAATAAATTATTGAATTACTGAAACTTTGAGTGGCTTTTTTCCCCTCCCATCCTGTCTTTGTAATAAAATTATCTACACCTATTCAGAAGGTGTATGTATAATGTATTGAACATTCCTTGGCTGGGAGCCAGGCTCTACCTTCCAGAGTAACCCCCCCCCCCCCAAACAACAGTTGTTCTCAGATGGTGTTCCCATGCTCCAGGGTACTCATGCATTCCCAGATCCGTGCTGAGAGCCTGCACACACACAACACTGAAGTAGGAGCCCTGGTGTTTAGTTCTATAACTGTTCGAGTAGATCAGATCTGTGTCCCCCACAGATTGTGGTCAATCCTAGAACAAATTACAGGTCTGTTTTCCACTTCCTTTCTCATCACGGTCTGGACCAGTTTCTTTTTGATGTTCCTTAGAAACAACAGACCTGTCTTTGCTCTCTGCCCTGTTCGCAGGCTGGTGACAGTAGGATGCCATCCAGCACAGCAGGTACAAGCGAGATGTCGTTCCCCTTGGGTCCAGCCGCTAGGGAAAACCACGTGCTCTTAGGGGCAGAATCTCTTGCTAAAATGGTAAGCCGCCAGGACGTGGCAGAGCTTACAGTCAAACTTTGGCTAAATCTCGAAAGACCTTGCTTTTAACCTTCCTGCATCTATTTAGAAATATGCATTACTCTGAATTTAACATTGTCTGAACCTAGAGGTAAAGCTGTTGAGACTGCTCAGCCGCGGTTATTTTATCTGCAAATGAAGGATGAGCGTGAGTCTGTGAGAAATGTTTTGCAAATGGTAACGCTGTTACCATGTTATTGTAATTGTACCATTGAAGAAGGGGAACAGCGAGGCCACATTTCGATTAGAAGACCATTTTGGCCTCTGCCTCATCCCTCACCACGGCACTGTTCGTCATGTTGCTTGCCAAAAGCATTATGAACCACATAGTCCCTGGATCCATTGTAATCAGGTCAGTCCAGTGATTCTTGTGTCCCCTTAATAATCAGAACTAGATGGCGTTCTTACCAGTGTTTCTTAGCTTAGATACTTAGCTCATACATCGGGTGGGACTTGACCCAACGGTTTGTGAACCTTGCTTTCATAACCACTGGCTGCACCAATTTGGCGACCTTAGCTAAATCTCTTTGAGGCAGGAGAAGGTATTTGTTGAGTGCATTTAAACATTTTGCAAATCAGGTGAAGACAGAGCTGACCAGGCGCTCGGGAGCCATCAGCCTCCAGCCATTCACTTCGCTCCGATTCTGCATAACACCAGTTTACCCCCTCCGGTGATGCCACGGCACCGAGTCCTGTTTCCGCTCTTCAGGGACGTGTGGGGCAAGGGATTTGTTCCCGACAGTTATCAAGGAGCTCAAAAAGTTTTTGTGTAAAAAGTGCAGTTTGTCAATAGAAGTTTTTAAAAGCAGACTTCTCTCATAAGACTGAATGCTGAAGCAGGAGCTACCTACTGAAAATTGTCCTTGGCCGCTTGTCATTTATGCAACACAAGCCATGGCGTAAAGAACGTTTTGGGGTTTTTTTCACTTTTGAATCCACCACATGCTAAAATCCTACCAAAATGCAATTTTAATGTATCACCAGGTTCTCTTGGTGTTAGATGATTTGCTTGTTTACATCCCCTTGACAACAAGGCCACTTTGACAGTAATTATTTCATGCCATCAATACCTAATGAGACACCCTAAGAAAATTCTGTTGTGCCAGATCACAGTGTGGTTGTATCGATGGCCCTGGGCATCCTACTCCACTTGGAACCAGATTTACCAGTCTTCTGCTACTTCAATTGAAAATTTCAGGTCAAGTTTCCAAAATGATTTTTTTGACACTTCCTGCTTCTGGCTAGAACTCCAAAGTAATGAAGCAGGTAAGAAATAGAAGTTGATGAGGAAGAAAGGTTCACCTCCAGGGTGGAGCTTGGGTATGACTGAAGTATTGATTTTTCTCTGTAAAAGGTTATTTCCTCAATAAGCATTAGTTACCAGGTGATAAAAAGGCACAGACAACACGGGGTTCTGTCTCACTTTTTTAATTTATTTTTTTTAAACAAGCAGGGAAGTGAGAAAAAGCACATGCTTTGTTTTAATAATCTGCTAAAAACTGCATTTGTCTGGGCTGTTACTCCATGCTGTTCATTTATAGGTGTCAAAGCAAGTGTGTCTGAAGAGTGCTTAACATCACCCGCTGCTCAGAACAGGCAAACGCGTACAAACGAGCAGCACTTGGTGTGCCTTGCCTGCTGCTATTTTATGCTTTCATTGCCTTTATTAGCAGATTAGGCACGTTGCAATCTACCTGTTTCAGAAAGCCAGGCAATCTTCAGGAAAATGGGCCACGCCAGAGCTAAGAGTAGAGGGCTGACAGAAGGCAAAATGTGTGCCCTGGGGGAAAATCAATTTAATTTAACATGTACGATAGTACTTCTTGTCTTATTTAACTTGAGCTTGAACATCTTTCAATAAACATTTTGTCAGCTTCTCTTATTTAAATCTTTGTTCACTTAGAGGTCTTGATGTTACTAATTTATACGCACTGTTGACATAAATAACTTCCTGTCTGCTCTCGTGCGTGTGAGTTCTCATTCTAGAAGAGATAATGATCAGATAGTCACATACACACACATACACCAGTTTTTGTTCTGTTGATCTCTCCACAAAGCTTATGGAGGTCTAGGGAGGTCAAGTGTGCCTCACAGGATGAATTTGATGCCCTTCCAGTCATTTTTTGTGACACAGGAACGTTGACCTCACATGACAACTCCGTTGGGCTGAGAGTAGGCACCCAGGGAACGTTAGCTGAACACAGACTGTTGAAAGAGTGGACTCCACCTCAAAAATCGGAAATAATTTTACAAGCAAATTCATCACATCTCGATGCCTTTTTGGAGAGCAGAAAATACATCTTTTATATATTAGAAAAAACAGGAACTTCCTTTTTTTGGTGGTTGATTTAGGTTTTCTATTTCCTCTGTCAATTTTGGTAATTTGGATTTTTATAGGGGAAAAAAAAAGGAGTTTTCCCAATGTATTAGTATGCAATTGTGCGGAGTACTCCCTTAATTCTGAACATGTTGTTTTTGGTCACATACGTTCCTTCTCATTTCTAACAATATTGATGCCGGGTTTCTCTCCTTGATTTATTTTCTAGCAGTGTGCTGTTTCTTAGTTTTGTTTGATTTTTTTCCCCAAAGAAACAGCTCACGGATTTAACAATTCTGCTGTTTTTATCCTGGCTTTTATCTTGCTGTACATTTTCCCAGTTTCCTTGAGGGTTGTTTAATTTTCCTTGAATCTTAATTGCCTGCTTAGTTAATTTATTTTCACTTTGATGACACTTTATAGCCTGGGGGCTTCTGGATGCGGGTGGCCCTCCTCAAATGATACGCAGAAGTCTTCGTGTGTGTGCATTTTTCTAGGGAGAGGGTCTGTTGCATCCCACCCTAGAGGTGTCAGACCCTGAAAGGGGTAAAATGACTGACCTGGGACTGTGTTAAAGCTGATTGCATCCTGCAGGTGTTGATGTTGATGTTTAGCATTTTCATTTTTATTTTTAGATTTTTAGTTCCTCATTTCCTTTTTTTTTTTTTTTAAATAAAGGAAAGTTCCCTTTGGATTTAAAGTCCCTTGGACTCTAATTTTCTCTTACTGCAATGCGATCTAGTAATGATTGGTTCTTACAAACATTCTCTGGAACCTTCAAAACAGTATTTATTGTACCTTCACAGCACATCTAAATCTGGAAGCTAAATTTTCGATGGTTAAAGTAAAACGTAGTTCTACCAAATAATAAAGTTGCATTTAACAGAAAAAAATTTCTAATTGAATTTTAACTAAAATGAGTTCAATTAAAATTCAATTAAACTTTAAAAATTAGTTCCTCAGCCATGCTTACTGCATCTCAGAGTGTTAGTCACACGGGCGTCCTATCGGAAGTGCGGCGCTAGGCATTAAGATTTGAAACCAATTAATTCTATCCTGGGTGTATTTTCTGTTTCTTCTATGCCCCTGTCAAGACCTCAGACTCTGTCCTAGGCAGGTAGCAGGAGTTAAAATTTCCCACTGCAATTTTGGGCTGTCCTTTTTTCTTTTGTACTACATTATCGGTGCAGAAAGTTTTATGATGTATTTTGTAATGTAATTTATCTCTGTATCCTGGCCCTTTGTAATACTTTTTGCTTTAAATTATCCTTTGATATTAATTTTGCCACCCCTGTGTCCTTTTATTAGAATTCTGGTGTTATATCTTTGACCAGCCATTTATTTTGAACCTTTGTCATTTTGTGTTAGGTGTTCTTCATACACATTGTTGCATTTTATTTCTTAACAGAATAATCATTTCATTTCAATAGGGTGATTTTTACCATTTGCATTTCCTGTTCCGTGTTACATTTTGACTTGTCAGCCAATTCTTATGAAAATACACATATTTATTTGCTTTTACTTTTTTAGTTTTGCCTTTTTTTTGTGTATGGACTCTGCTATTTACTTTTCTCTCTCAAAACACTTTGGAAAGAAACGTTCGTCTTTTGAATTCTATCAGTGATTACCGTACAACAGTCCACAAACATTCACAATGCTCTTACTACATACGTTCCCATTAAAAAAAAAAAATCCCCTCTTATGCACCATCCCACCTCTCCCTTCCCCCCTCCCCACTCCCACTCTCACGAGCGTGTATGACCGTGGAGCAGCCAGCTCCCAGGCCAGGCGGGGTGGCCCGCAAACCCATTCCCTTCTTCAGCCGGTGGGGGGGGTTGGGGGGGTGCTTCCAGGTTCCGCTGGCATCCAGTCTCCATCAGCTTGCCTCCTTCAGAGGGTGCATGTCCTGGCTCTGTCACAACTGGGCTGCCCATCACATTAGTGCCTCACCCACTGGTTTTTCCCCGGGAAAGCCAACCTGTGGTGTCCAGGAGCCAGTGAGCATTCAGATTCCCAGGCTAGCCCCAGGTTCTGAGCCAGTCAGTGGCAGGTCAGGCCCAGGAATCTTCATCAAATGCCTTCTCCTCCCCAAGGCGACTCTGCTGCAGGGATCAGTGGACCGCACTCTGAGAAATACTTGTCCACTTCGACTTCCACTCGGCTAATATGGGCAGGCAGGCAGCTGAAACAGTCAACTGAGTTCAAACTCAGGATGATTTTTCTCCCAGTACTTCTGTTAAGTCAGCTCATCCTTCCCCGTGACTCCCGAATCTGTGGCTGCAGATCTCATAGTCCCACCTGCCTGCCCGGAAGTCCTCGGTTCCTTGCCCTCCTCCTCCCCCTCCTCCTCAGTCCGGAAATCCAGACCATCCTGGACTTTACGTCCCTCTCCCCAGCCCCCGTGTCCGGTCACTCGCTCACGCTCCGTCCTCAAGTCATTCGGCCTCCTTGGGGCCGGGCACTGGGGCACTGCAGGAAACAGGACAGACGCCGCCCGAGCCTGACGTGGCTCGCAGCAGTGAGATGTGCCGGAGAGACCAGGTGGTTACAACACGGAGCCAGGGCCACCCCCACGGGTAAGTGCAGTGTGCTCCGCGCCGGGGAAAGCTGCCTGGAGGGACGCTTCAAGCGAGGTGGCTGCCGGAGGTGGGGAGGGGCTGTGTCCCAGAGGGGGGATGGCAAGGGGGCCAGGGGGGCAGGCGGCGGGTGGGAGCGGCGGGTGTAGACGCACGCCAAATGCCGAGGTCGTGTGTAGGCCAGACTCGAGAATTAAGACCCTCCTGAGGAAGGCGGGGACTCAGCTTTCAGCGAGTTAAACACGGGCGCCGATGGACCTTCTAGAACCTTTACTGCGGTGTGGAAAGAGGGTGAAGGGGCAGTCGAGGTGATGGAGGGCTGTGAGGAGGGGAGACCAGGGCGGGTTGGAGGGCTGCTGAGAAACAGGAGGAGCAGAGCCCGCTGGCGGATGAGGTAGCTGGGGGCTGCGGGGGGACTCGGGGACCACAGAGGTTTGCGCCGCAGCCACCAGGCAGATGGCCGCGCACGGGCAGCAGGGACCGGGAGGTGGCTGGTGAGGACGGCCCGGCGGCGGCGGCCACACCGTGGTCCGGAGCGTGCTTACCTGCCAGAGCAGAGGAGCGGGGGCCACAATTCCCCTCCCCCGGCCCGGGGGGGCGAGCGAGGAGGCCGTCCTCCGTCCCCGCGGCCCCTCGGCACCACTTCGGGATCACCGACTCGGACACCGCGAGCGAGGCCCTGAGTGCAGAGCCAGAGACACGTATCTGGCCTCTGCCTGCAGCCCCCAGTCACCTCGGAGATGCCACACCTTCGCGGAGGGCAGACGGAGGGGGTCACCGGGAGCGAGCCCCAGGGAGAGCACACGGCCAAGGACCGCGCTGGATGGGCAGCGAGGGATGGAGCCGCGCCCGCCTGATCTGCTTCCGACTCCTGCTGAGCCCCGGCCTCGTGCACCAACGGTCCCCGGCCCTGACTCTTCTTCAGCTGCCATTTAGAAACCAAGACGGAGGTCAGGGAACACGTGGAACTGGTTTGCAGCTTCGAGAACTTGGATTCTCCGCCAGGTCACCTCAGATAGGGACGCTCGGGGGCATCTGTCCAGGACCAAATGCTTCTCTAGTTGCCCCACGTGGGAGCCTTGATGTCTTCCTGTCACCCTTGGTCCTACCTGGATCTCTCAATAGCCTCCTTGCTCACCCCCCCACCCCGTCTCCACACCTGGCCTCTCAATCCTGGTGGGCTTCCCTGGCCCTCTCAGGACTCCAGCCTGGCTGGCATTTCCACCATCGCGGCACTGACCACACTGCGCGACCAGTTGACCGTTTCCCCCATGGACACGGCCTCTCGGGCACACAGCAGACATTCGATGGCAAGCTGAGTCATCAGCCATGGCCGATGAGCTCTTACCTGGCCATTTCTCTAGAACCTTCTGAACATGAAAGAGAAGGTCTGTTGCTCGCGCCGTGCCTGTTCCCTCGTCAGTGAAGTGGGGATGTCATTTCCCTGGGGAGTAAATGAGCTGACACACGCATGGTGTGTTAACACTGCTCGGCCCGCGGCAGGCACTCCATAAATGTCGGTTCTTGTCTTTTTTTTTCCAGAAGAGTCACGACAGGGCTTGTTTTACCCTCCAAGTGTTTGGCAAGTATGTATTTCAAACACTGATGAAGTGGATTTCTCTCCTAAACCCGTGTCTCCTTTCTCAAACCTCTCTTCTTCCGGATGTCCAGTTCAAGCCAAAAATCTCAGGGCTGCTGGGAACCGATTGCTTTCTCTCGCCTTCCATGTCTGATCCATTTGTTTCAATCTCGTGACCTCACCTTCAAAATGAGCCCGGAATCCGAGGTCTTCCTACCACCACCCCACCCCATCCCTAATCCCGCTGTCACGGAAGCCAAGCTCTCGCTCAAGGGACCTCCTGTAGGTGCCCTCTCCTCACTCGGAGCTCTGGGTGGCCTGTTCTGCATGCACCTTCCACAGCGGCCTCTCTGTCAACCCTGTGCCTCCTCTGTTCCCCACCAGCACGGGAATAAAGTCCAAACTGCAGCCGACGCAGCCCACCATGCTCTGGCCCCTGTGCGCCTCTCCCTTACTGCATTCCAGCTACACTGGCCTTCCTCACCCTGACCAGCCAGCTGTCCCCAACGCCTTATCCTTCCTTATCATGCTTCTTTCATTTGTATGTCATCCCTCCTACTAGTAGGTAAGCTCTAGGAAGGCAGGCATTGTATCCCCCAACGACAGAACCAGGGCCTTCCATATACGGAAGAAGGCCCACAAATATTTTGTCAATTCTGAAATAATTTTAGACATACAGAGAAGTTGCAAAAGCAGTACAGACTCCTGCTTGCCTTCACCCAACTCCCCTCACCCCCACCCCCACCCCCATGAACAGCTAGCACAGGGTGGAATGAGTGCCAGAGTAAGAAATTAACAATTTATTAGAAATTACTCCTAACTAAACTTCATACCTCACTCAGAGTGCACACATTTTTCACCCATGTCCTTTCCTGGTCCACGATCAGGGACAGGAGCCCATGGTGCATGATCAGTGGCAGGAGCCCATGGTGCACAATATGGGGCAGGATCCCGTGGTGCACGATCTGGGGCAGGATCCCATGGTCCACGATCAGGGGCAGGATCCCGTGGTGCACGATCTGGGGCAGAAGCCCATGGTCCATGATCAGGGGCAAGAGACCATGGTGCACGATCAGGGGCAGGAGCCCATGGTGCACGATCAGGGGCAGGAGCCCATGGTCCATGATCAGGGGCAGGAGCCCATGGTGCACAATATGGGGCAGGCTCCCATGGTGCATGATCTGGGGCAGGATCCCATGGTCCCCAAGACCATGGTGCACGATCAGGGGCAGGAGCCCATGGTCCATGATCAGGGGCAGGATCCCATGGTCCATGATCAGGGGCAGGAGCCCATGGTCCATGATCAGGGGCAAGGGTCCCATGGTGCATGATCAGGGGCAGGAGCCCATGGTGCACGATCAGGGGCAGGAGCCCATGGTCCATGATCAGGGGGAGGAGCCCATGGTGCACAATATGGGGCAGGCTTCCATGGTGCATGATCTGGGGCAGGATCCCGTGGTCCCCGAGACCATGGTGCATGATCAGGGGCAGGAGCCCATGGTCCATGATCAGGGGCAGGATCCCATGGTCCATGATCAGGGGCAGGAGCCCATGGTCCCTGATGTGGGGCAGGATCCCATGGTCCATGATCAGGGGCAAGGGTCCCATGGTGCATGATCTGGGGCAGGAGCCCATGGTCCATGATCAGGGGCAGGATCCCATGGTGCACGATCAGGGGCAGGATCCCATGGTCCATGATCAGGGGCAGGATCCCATGGTGCACGATCAGGGGCAAGAGCCCGTGGTCCCTGATCAGGGGCAGGAGCCCATGGTCCATGATCTGGGGCAGGATCTCATGGTCCATGATCAGGGGCAGGATCCCACGGTGCACAATCAGGGGCAGGAGCCCACGGTGCACGATCTGGGGCAGGATCCCGTGGTGCACGATCAGGTGCAGGAGCCCGTGGTCCACGATCTGGGGCAGGAGCCCGTGGTGCACGATCTGGGGCAGGAGCCCGTGGTGCACGATCTGGGGCAGGAGCCCGTGGTCCACAATCAGGGGCAGGATCCCATGGTCCACGATCTGGGGCAGGAGCCCGTGGTGCACGATCTGGGGCAGGATCCCGTGGTCCACGATCAGGGACAGGATCCCATGGTCCATGATCAGGGGCAGGATCCCGTGGTCCACGATCAGGGTCAGGAGCCTGTGGTGCACGATCAGGGGCAGGAGCCCGTGGTGCACGATCTGGGGCAGGAGCCCATGGTGCATGATCAGGGGCAGGAGCCCATGGTCCATGATCTGGGGCAGGATCCCATGGTCCCTGATCAGGGGCAAGGGTCCCATGGTGCATGATCTGGGGCAGGAGCCCATGGTCCATGATCAGGGGCAGGAGCCCATGGTGCATGATCAGGGGCAGGAGCCCATG